TAAAAATCTTTTCGACTTCATTTCTTAAATTATAATAGAGAAAATTGTTTGCAGACAGTTGTTGTGCTATGGACGACGGATACCTATGCATGAATTGGAAGTTCGCATCAATGTAGGCCATTTTGCAAACTCCATTCTATCTAACGATGTTTAATTTGTAATTTGCTATCATATTATCACACCTTTACCGGTTTTAAATTCAAACAATTTTGCTAATTTTCTAAACAATTATGTTCATTTGTATTTTGTATTTCATTATTTTTTTATTTTAATTCATTATTGAGTTTTTTGCCACCTTATTTTTTCAGGAATAATGTTGCTAAAAATTTGTTCGTTCTATAACCTTCTTTCTTTACTGAATCATTATTTACAATTACCAAAGGATTCTAGAAATAAAAAAATATATGTTATACTTCCTAGAAATTTGAAAGCATGCACCAAAACAAAATTTTTGAGTTTGTAAATTTTGCCTTTTCTAAATCCTCGAAGATCATAAAATTGTAGGCAGTCACTGCAAAATCAATGAAACAAGTAGCGTCAGAGATTTTCCGGAACAAACCACTTGCATACACTGTTGTCGGTAAGTGACCACATGATTTTTGTCTCACAAATTTTTATACACTTTTATCTCACAAATTTTTATACACTGAGGTGACATTTCGATAGACTTTTTGTCTGACTGATGCAAGCGTTTGAATTAGAATAGTTTATTGTCGACAGAAACAATTGTTTTTTTTATTTTTTTAATTTGAATATTGATGTAGCCTTGTTCTTATCGGCTGTAATTAGGTTAGTTATTCCGTTATGTGATCAATGGAAAGGTATTGTTGTTCATGTAGTGAGTGGCTTAGCTGAAATATCTTTTTATAATGAAAGTTTTTAGGTCGAACACATGAATGGCCATCATCAGATTACATTGAGGATCGGTTGAAATGAAGTGTCAGTGATCTGTTGTCAACTAATTCTATACATTTGTTTATTTCTGTGTCTTTGTTTCAGGTTGTTTTCATTATTGACTTGTTGTAAAGAAATTTTGATGATATTCTTACAATATGACTTGTTGCAGTCGTTGTTTGTTGTATAAGTGAAGAATAAATCTGCAGACAAGTGCTATTCACCCAGTGAACAAACATAACAGAGCACTCTAACTTCTGGTGGAATTCAGTATACACCTTTACTGCATCCATCATCGGAATTTCATGTTGCTCTTGCTGAAAGTGCTGGCATTCCTCAGCATTCGTTCTTGTGCTACGTTACCTTCTTGTTTCATTGTTCTGTTTCTTCCTTCCCAGTTACGTGACTGGTAGTCATTCTAAATAATTTACCTGTTGCACCTATAAATTACCAGTTATCTGCTCATGTTGCTTTTCATTGCTTGTATTTATAGTCTTAAAGTAGTAATCATAATTAATGGATTACAAAACTACCGCGATAACATGTAAATCATGCCTGTATTACTGCAAGCCTACAGTAAATTGGTTCCATCATCATCCTCACATCTTAACCATGTCCCAGAAAATCATCTTAACCATGTCCCAGAATATGCGAGCTGCATATTACCATCATCTTCAAATCGTTTTCCCATCCTATCTGTCTCATCGCCGCGAAGTACTGATGGTAGCACTGAAAACTGTTGTCATCATGGTTCAGAATTATCATATGACTGGATTAGTAATAAAAAATTGGATGCACCTGGTACAGAAACTGGTGTGAATGATTTTAATAAGTTAGCAACAACAACATCAGCGAATACATGGCTGAAAAGGGCGAAACGAATATACAGAAGTCTACATTTGAATTCACTACTCTGGTTAGCATTTATGATGATTTATATGTTTTTTGGTGCTTTATTGTTTCTGTGGCTTGAACAGGCATCGGATGAAGCTAGAAAACTCCAACAGTATAAATTTTTCACTCTTGAACGGGAATTATTTCTGAAACGAATTGATGAAATTTATAAGGACGAGGCGTCACGTCAATTTAATCGGCGTAGAAAATTCATTGAAGAAGCCATAGACTACTTGCATCAAAGAATCGGTGTTTCATTCAGTAATCACTCTGACTGGTCACTTACCACGGCATTGTACTATTCAGGCACTGTCTTCACAACAATTGGTTCGTTGCTTTATCAAATGATTATTATCTTTGCAAAGCTCGTATTGCCAATTCTTATGAATGGTGGTGATCTACAAGAGTTATTTTTTGAACTTTGGGTAATACTTTACCACTGATACACTGTAAACGATTGGTAGGAATAAGCAGCAGATAAAAACAAAGATAAGGTTTGAAGATAGATGATCGGAATAGAAATTGCCGACTTTCCACCTAAGTTAAATTTTTACTCTACTCTTACTGAATTAATAGATGAATATATTTAGTTGTACATTCTTTCATAATTTTTTTCAACAAGTTGGGAAGTTGATAGAAATTATTTTTACAAGTTCAAATCTCTCTTGAATTGTCAATTTGAAGTATGACAAATTACTTACAGATTTCGCATTTCGCTTCTATCATTTAGCATTATTTTTTGAAAACATTTTTCATTCAAAAGGCCTTAAATCTAACACTGAACCATTTCCTATCCTCCTAATTTCTTCTCCTGCATTTGTCTCACTTTGCAAAACAAATTTGTTTGACTTTAATGATTCTTGGTGAAGCTACTTTATTTATTGTTTTGTAACTTCTTGACATTTCATGACAACCGATCATTCCATCAGGATGTTTAACATTTCACCTATAGAAACAGCTAAAGCTTACTGCAAAGTAGAATTAATTATTTAATGAGAAAAAATATTCACTATCCATCTATAATTAGTACTAGGTTCAATTTCATGCAAATATTTTTTAATTACAGTTATTTTTGCTATTATCTCTTGAAATTGCAAGGTCCTTCAGACATATTTAAGTAAGGACCTGTATTTAAACATTTTTCAAGCAGCATAAAAATTAATTACAAAGTTAAAGAAATTATTAATAAAGAAAAAAAGTGACTAACACATGTATGAAACTTAACTAGATGATTTATTTTATTATGCCAAAAATTCATACTAATTCTAAAATGCACACCGTCATTTTGATTAAAATATTATTATTAATAAGTGTGATATATTTTGAATACTTATCTACTTCAATCTATTAAATGTTAGTTCTGTATTGAAACCTTCTTTATACATGTACAGAAATGTTTTGAATATTTTTATTATATCTCATTTTAAGTATTCAATTATAACTAAGATTAATTTCCATAAATTTATTTATAATCTTGATTACACTTTGCTATAAATATAATCTAACATGCAAAAGCACTTTGGGATCTTTTTCTGATTCGAGTTAATCTTCTCCATTAGCAGAATGTAGTTCAAAAGAGGGCAGTTTTTTTTTGAATAAATCATAAAGATTTTAGTAGGCGGGAAAGTTATTTTCATTTCATTCAACTATAAATAGATATTACGCTGCAATGATTTTTGAACAATTAATAAGAAATAATAGACCTTAGCTGAACAAGAATACATCGCAATTTCGACATGGAAGACCATCATGAATGGTTGGCTGATCTGCGAGAAGACTACTAATTCATCAGTTTTCACTTGAATTAAAAATTGTAATATCAATAAGCAATACTACTACTTACTATGATTGAAAAATTTATAATGAGAAAAATTAAAATTGAGCCAAAATATCATTGTTTTTATGATAATAATAATCATAAAATGATGAGTATATAAATGAAATACATTATTACTGACAGGTGGTAAAATGATCATTTTCACTGCTACAATTTTTGTCATTACTAATTTGCAAGACAAATGAGAAGTTGTTGGTCACTTTGAAGAGAACTGCATACCAAAATATGCTCTCAAATGCAAATAGTTGAGCGCTAACACAAAAGTTTTTTATTTTTACAGAACTGATTGCAGTTTGTGAAAGAATGGAAAATAAAAGGTGCTACATTGACACAACCATATCAATTTGAAAAATGGTTCTGAAAAAGTTTAAATGTTATAGAGGATATTATATCAAGACTGAAAATAATTACAAAAAAACGGTAAAGTTGATGGAAAAAATTAGGTTTAACGCAAGTTAATGCAACTTTCAGCATACTTATTCATCTTTCAACTGCCTACTAAAATTCTCAACAGTTCTATTCCTATGCTAAACAGCAAGTTTTTATTTTTATAAAAAATTTTTCGATCTATGCTATCATATTCTCCTTTCTGATATCATCACATGCATGAATTTTGAGCAAAAAGCTAACACAACAAGAAGGAGCAGTCTTAAAATTGTACAATAATAAGTTATGTATAAAATGGGCACTACATTTCACACATAACTGGAAATCAATTCTAATAAGATAGATTTTTTCAATTTTTTTTAGAAATTGAACAGCGTTTTTGTCAGCTGCTTCTTGAAAAAGAAGGTCTATTAAAGCAATTTAAATGAATGAATTAGTCTTATGTTTTGTTGTTTAGTTAAAAAACTCTAACATTCATCAGAATAAACTAATTACGGATGAGATTGTGTCAGTGAAAATTTTTGCTAGTAATTCAGCTCACTGAAAGTATGAATGAAAAAATATAATTATTATGCTTGCAAATCTATCTTTTCTTTGTTCAATAATGTCTTCAACTGTAAAAAAAAACTGCGTACAGATTGTAATTTGTGAAATGAAAAAGCACAATTGATGAGAACTGTAATGTGAATGATTTACAATTTTTGAACAAAGGAAAAATAAACAGTTGCTGTTGAAATGTTAGATCTCTTTAAATAAGCTGACAAATGGATTACTGGTGTTATATTTTTAAAATAGATCACTTAATTTTTAGCTTACAAATGATCAATCGCTAAAAAGATATTGAATAATAAAGTTATAGCTCATTTTAGATAAAATTAATTTTAAGCAAATATTTTTACTGATAAAGAGTAACAAACTTTTTCTGCAGTTGTTAGAAATAAAAAATTAAGAAATGTTCATGCTTCAAATCTATTTTCATGATTTTAAAGGGAAACAAAATTATGAAAAAAATTTAGAAATATTAAAAAATTACATATAATGTAAAATTTGGACTCAACTAAGGAATAAATTAAATATTTTCCCTTATCCAATATAAATGAATAATAAACAAATAGATTTTACCTTTACGAGTTCTTTATATTATACCTTTGTATTTCAATAAAATAATGCTAATAACGTGAATTGAATATTAAACTATAATGCAAAGAGTTGTAAACAGAATATAAATTCATATCATAATAAAAACCAAAGGAATTACAACTTTCATATTTAAATTCAATTTAAAATTCTTCTTAATTCAGGTTCAATTTATTTCTTATTAATAATGCGTTTTACTTTGCTTCATATTCTTATTTTAGTTTGGTGAATTGATGGCATGTTGTGTTAAACTTCTTTATAATATCAGACATGTCAATTCGTTTTAAAATGTGCATTTTTGGGCAATTATTAATTTATAATATGGATTAAACAGATATCGAGTTCGTAACTTTAATTCGAGTACAAAATCCCATGAGAATCATAGCTAGAGGTTTACTTCATACCTTGTAAGTAGTCAAGTACAGCAAGATGACATAAATAAATTAATTGCCAAATTAAAACTTGTTCATAGGCTTTTAAAATACTACTCCTTAATAATATTTTAGATAAGAAAAACCGTTTGTTTGTTAAAGAACTTTTAAACATTAAATTTCTCCCCTATTTTTAATGCAAATGACACATTATTTGAAAGCATACACCTGAAGTTTCAGTTTTTTGCACTTGCATTTTCAAAAGTATAGATAGATATATAATGATTTTCAGTGAAAGTATACAGAACTCAAGACGTTGCAAGTAAAATAAAATACTGATCAGGCATGTAATAGCTTCTTTACAGAGAAGTTTATTAACTGCAAAAGTTTGGAATTTATATGGTATCATTATTTTGCACAATTTGCTTCATGTTACTTTAAAAAATTTTTTTTAATACTCACTAAATTTTGCAGTCTTATATAATTTGACCAAATTTACCGATTGTTCTCATTACTAGCAAGAATTTGATAAGTGCAAACTTGTTCATTAAAATATTTTGAGATTCATGCAGTAGTTCTGAATACTTTCTCCAATACTTTTCATTTTTTCATTACAGAAATTTGAGCAAAACGTTAAGCTTTTCAGTGAACAAAGTGATATTTGCAATTAATTTTCCTTTTTTTCGAATCAAATATAATTCACAAAGTTGATGAAACTAATTATTGATAATAGGTTATGGTGATGTAGCATGTCATACGACAGGTGGCCGTCTGATGACAGTAATTTATGCAGTTGTCGGCATACCACTAATGTTGATCACTCTTAGTGATCTTGGTAAATTATTGTACGAAGCCGTCAATGAAATGGTAAAAATGATAAGATTAGCGTTCACATCATTTGGCTATCAATCTAATATCAGTCTTAAATCATCAATACAAGGATCCATTGATATAGCACAATTGGAAATGAGTTCGGACATGAACCAAAAACGAAATATTAAAGGCGAAATAAATAATTATAGTGGTATTGAAGATGATTTTGGCTCTCAAAAGCCCAAATTTCTACTTGATGCAGAAACTATTGATGGTATTTTCGATCAATTCAATTTTTATTTATTTTAACTTTTTCAATATGTTGTAGTATTTTAAGTAGTTTATATTAAGAATGAAATTATTTGAGCACTTCAAAAATAAATTTTTGGTTTAGTTTCTTTTGTTACATGCAATTGTTTCATGTATATTATGATTGATAGAAAATGCAAGGTTACAGAAATAGATGGCAAAAAAATGTCAACAAAATTTGACGATATTCAATTTATTAACAGTGATCCGCCACCTCGAATACCTGTTTTAATAGCTATTAGTATTACTATAAGTTGGATATTTTTGTGCGCCGCTCTCTTCAAAATATGGGAATACGACTGGACCTATGCAGAAAGTTGCTATTTCATGTTTATTAGGTAGTCATTTGTATTTTCTTTTGTCTGGATATCCTTAATCATTAATTTTGAAATTTATCAAAAAACATTTGAATGCTTTGTTCAAAAATTAAAAGTAAGCAATGTTAAGTACATATTAAAGTGATTAATAGACAAAAAAATTTCAATCCCTATATTTTGTTCGCTTGTTACTTGTTGAAAAGTTCTTAAACATATCGTTTGAAAATAGCTGCGAAAAGCAGACTGATCTTGTATCAAAAATCTTCCGAAGTGAAGAACAAATGCCAACAATTTTAATTTCAGTTTGTCGACAATCGGGTTAGGAGATCTTTCTGTTAGACGAAGAGAGTTAGTCTTGCTTCTGCACATCAATTTGATTATTCAAACAAGAAAAAAATGATATGCATGAATAATATTATCTATTAATTAAATCATTAATTTTATGCTGAAATTTTATTTAACCTTGATCAGAAGTGTACATTTTAATTTTTTGTATCTGATTACATTACAGTTTAATGGTATTATGTTTTGTTTTTGTCATTATTGGTCTTTCAATGGTTAGTATGTGCATCAATGTGATACAATTGGCATTAGAAGATTTTTACATCAAAATTTTGTTAAAATTAGTCTTCGAATATCAATCAAAATTAAGTCAAGGTAAATCATTTTTAATATGATAATTTTTTTAAACCATTACATATGTGATCACTAAAGTATTTCTAAACAATTTTTATTTATTTTTTGAGTAAATTTTTCGAATTGAAATTACTAAATAAATAATTTTGATTAATTAAAGACAACCATGATTTACCTCATTCAACGAAATGTTTCTTTTCAACTTACTAAAGAGGATTTTTTATTATAATTTTTTTATTTTAAGCATTAAAAAATGAATGAGTTTGGCGAAGAATCACTAACATGATAAATGAATGAAAAAACATTAGCAAATTGAAAGCAAATATTTCCTCAAGTGATTGAATAAATGCCTTTTTTTATTAATTAAAAGTATTAAAATATCTTTTTTATCAACTTCATCAGTACTTTTTTTGAAAGGGTTAATTTTAGGAAATAATCGAGTTGAGGCATCTGTGGGCATGATGCAAATGTGGGGCGATAATAGAGCTGCAAAATATCTGATGCCACTACTTAGGTAGATCTTTTGAGGCATTTATTTCTATCGCATGTAAAATTTCAGTAATTATATTGCGTCTATGCAATGATTTTCAATTCTAGGCTATTGTAGCATCTGAAAAGTAAAGAACTTTGCGGACAATTTAAAAGTAAATTGAATTACTTCACAAACCACTTACTTTTTTAGATTTTTTCAAATTATTGCTAGCTGCGCAGAAAACATTTGCTATAAAAGTGTAATTTCTATAAATTAATTATATTTAAACTACTACCTGTTATGTAATACATCAATTTTTGGCCAAGTTAGTATATTAAGCAAGAATAAGCGATTGTCGTTAATGAACAAAGTACAGAAGGATGCTGAAGCACGTGGAATTGAAGTCCCGCAAATCTTTTCTGATATTGACGAAGAACTGGGCATGCCAAAGTTATTCTGGAAGAATAGAAAAGAGTCAGCAAACGTAAATTCCGTGGAGAAAGCTCTTCAACGTGTTCAATCTATGGAACAAAAGCTTCCGAAACTAGTCTTGCGCGATATTGGTGTACAAGCTTACCTTTTACATCTGTAAGTTTTTTAAATTTAGTTTTTAAATAATTACTCTGATATTTTAAAATTATTTGTATAAGCCAATTGAAAAAAAAAAATTGCACTACCAATTTTGCTGTTGCACTATCTAATATCTTGAAAAAGAAATTTAACATGGAATATTCGATCACAATTTTTAGAGATGATAAAAATGAAGAAACTTCTATAACTGCACCACTGGATGCATTTGTTTTTACACATCCTTCATTTCAACACGAAGCGACTACAGTTGATGTACAGTGTGATGAAATCTTACCGTTATATGATATGGTACAAATCAAAGAAACTGAAATGAAGGTTAGTAAATATGGAACTATGATGACCATTTTTGAGGGCAATATTTTAAAAAAATGTAGTATAAGAGTTGACTAAAATTAAAATAAATTATGGGGAAATTTTTAGATTCAAATGTTTCGCATTCCATCTGATTCTATTTAGGAAAAATTAAAATGCGAGAAAGCTAAATCACAAGGTAATAAATTAAAAATATTCATAAAATTTACTACGATTGGTTCATTTTTTAATTTGAAATTCAGTTGTAGATGAATGGTACACAAACAGAAACGATAGATACTTCTGATACTGAGATTCAAACCAATTTGCATGATTTTCAAGATACTCCAAGACAAACAGAATTCCATAAACAAGTTGAAACATCACTTGTGGGAAAGATCAGCACTGCAATTCAAACTGTTCCAATGGTAAAATTTTCTACCACAAGTTGGAATTTCCACGAAAAACGGTTACTAATATTTTTTTAATCGTTTTTTAAATGGCAAATTTAAATTTAGGAAAAGAGAAAATTGTCACGAGTGAGACGAGCAAAGAAACGATTGAAACAAACATTTCGAAGCTCCTTAGAAGCTCAAAGACGAAAAGTATCACAAATATCTACGCAGAGTTTGCAAGATTTCCATGTAAACAAAGATTCAAAGACAGCAGGGAACAAAAAGTGGTCGGAAACTGAGACATTAAAGTGGGATCCAATTGATGGTATGCATGCTGAAAAACAACGGCGAGTTCGAGATCTCAAGAAATTCTTTGAAACTACTGTTAAAGAAGATCATTCAAGCAGTTGACAAGCAAGGTCGTGGAGCCTTAAACTCAGCAATCATATTGTTCATCCAATGCTCTCGAAATTTTATTGCTTCTTTGCTCTTCATGAATCTCTTAGATTCTATTTTCCAACAAATTTAAGAGTGCACCTAGCGTGGATACTATGATATATATAGAAACTTTTATTTTAAATTTGGAATAACCTAATTTCTGTAAGACATTTCGCACTACTGATGATAATGAATGAACTTTAGAAGCACAGAAATACTGGACCAGGAGCTTTTGTTAATTTAAAATTCATATTCTCAGTTCAAGTGCAGTTAATGCCGAACTGATCAATATGCAATTTTTAGATGATTTTTTTTACAGCAGATTAAAAACTAATAGAGATCACTGGAGGATCATTACAAAAAAATTTTAAGAAAAAATGCAATTTCATAAATAAATTAAATAATGATGCTTCAGTAGTAATCAGAAGATGACTGTTATGAAAAAATATTTTTGTCATTGAGAAATAAATTTTATGTAGTCAATATATTTGTTTGAATATCTGAATATCATAATTAAGATTCATAATAATAAAAGTTATTCTTGAAACTTTGCTTCTTCTTCTTTTTTGCAATTCAACTGATGGTATTCAAATGTTCTACTTAGTTGCACCACGAAATTTTTCAGAATTTTAAAGATTATTGCTTGAAATAGCAATGTTATTAATTGAAATATTATCGCAAACGAAATTGTCTATTAAATTCTTAAAAATTAGACTGTAAATATAATAATTATTATCTGCACTGGAACTCTTTTTAAAATTTTACACAAATTAAATGAAATTGATGCAATGTTTACAAGCAAGTTTTTTGAAGTTGATTCTGGGATCAGTACTACTAAATACAAGTATTATAATGTTGCCAGCAATCTCGCTTATATGAAGAATTTTTTGAAAACACTAAGATAGACTGAAATGTATGGAGCTCAAACTCACTCACAAACAGCAAAAAAGTTACCCTTTCTCTTTGCATCTAAACTTTGTTTTCAATGCAATCAAAAACAACTAATGCAGTATAGAGAAATTGAGCTAGCAGGTTATATTTCAGTTTCAATATTGTATTTTAAACTGTCAATATTTTTTCAAAAAAAAAGATCATTTTATAATATTTCGAAAAATAAACATTGAAGCTTTTATGTCTTAAGAATGGTATATAAATTGCTAGTTTTAAAATTTTCTATCTTTCAAGATTGTTTGCTATTAGAAGATGGGATATTAAATTATTACATTGTCCAAACTTCACTTGTGTGCTCGTGTTTGTAGCAGTTGTATAGTTTAGTGAATGCTTAGTTGAGTGATTGTTCCCTTGTCTGCTTAATCATTCTTGAATCAAAAAAAGAAAAACAAAAACAGGTTTTGAGTCTTGAGTTAAAAATATTTTTCAACATAAAGTTTAGAAGGTTATTCCAGTGCCCTGGCATATCGACTTTTGCCAGTTGTGCCTCTCCAAAATCATCATAATGGCTCACCTACTTATATTGCATTTTAAGATTCCTTTAAATTTACCTTTAAATTCTTTCTCATCATCCACTTTCTTTACATTAAAATTCTAACAGTTGTCATGAAAATGAATACGTTAAATGAACAATACTTGTTTTCAAAAATATCTGATGATGTAATTTTATCTTAAAACTGTTAATATTTTCGAAGGTAAAAGGAATTTTTATTCAAAAATAATCAGTACATAACTGAATTGTAACAGCTCTAGACTAATTTAAAAGATTGGATAGATATGAGAAAATTTCAAAGTGAATTATTTATTAATCAAATAATATTCTTCAAATTGAAGAATTTGAAGTGGCGTTTGTTTACGCCATTTGATGCTTTTACTTTTTTCTTGACATCTCTAAACTTTACGTTGTCTTTATTTCTATAATTGCTGCATCATTGTCAATGATAATTTCTACTCATAGCATAAAATAATATGATATTGTTATTGCTACTGCTGTTATCATCATCAATTAAATTCATTTACGATGTGTTTGCAAAGTCTAGCATCTTATTATTAGTGGCTTGTTTACTTTACTAGAAGAAATCAATGATTATTAATGGATAATTCACTGAACTTAGCTAAATAGCAGTCAAAAATCAAAAATAGAAAGAATAAATGTTTGTGAAAAAAATGAATTTTACATTTTCCCAAATGAAAAATTCTCCATGGTTACTTGATTACACCGTTTTTTATTATATATACACTATGACTTTTTAGTACAAATCACGTATTAAATCTTAATATGTATTTCATATTTTAAGAAAAAAAGTTCTGAAATACTCCAAATATATTTAATTACAAAGTAATATAATTTCAAAAAATTCATTTACTATTTAAAAAATTATAGTTATTTGTTGTAGTAAACTATACTAATTTTAGTTAAAAACATAACAATTAACTGGTTTCTAATTTTTGGCCTTGGATCAAGGAGGTGTGTTAAATAAATAACGACTGGTTTTGAATGAAATAGTACACTTCCATTTTACACCACTAAACAATGTAAGTTATGAGATATACTGATTTTCATATTGGAAAAAAGATAAAAGTGCCATAAAGTTATGATTTAAAAATGTTTTATGAAAATATCATTATTAATCGCATGGCAGCAGGTAATCACTGATTCTCTTCTTCTGTATATTTTCCTTAAATATACTAATTGGTAAAGTTTTTCTTTCCAAACTGTCTTCAATTATTTTCTTTTCTTGGACTACATGGACAGATGAACACAAAATTTTATTACATTTAACGGTAGTAATTTTCATTTATGTCTGTGAATGTTTTTAATTTTCAAACAGATCTAACGCGAGTAATTTTGTTTTGCGATATTTTTGGAATGTGTCAGAAAAATTTGTCGCAAAAGTAGCAGCTACGGTCTGTACAAATAGCAGAGCAAATGCTTAAAAAACTGCTAACAATTGTCAAACAACTTATCGATTGTTCTCACTTTCATTAATTGCTACAAATTACATCAAGTATTACTGAGTGCAACTCTCTTAACGGTAGTTTAAAGCTGCTCAAAAAAGTTTGAGTAATAACATGGAAAATTCAATTGTTTGCGGAATACTCTTCGAAAATCAATAATTTGTAACAATTGTTGTTGCTACATTTTGAATTGTTTGCTACACTGACAAGTTTGGATTGGGGACAAATTTGAGTATTTTGAGACATTTTATCAATTTTCATTCATACTTAACAACTTATACACTAGAAATCGAACCTCAATTTGTGTCTTTATCAATTAAGAGGGACAGTTTTTGTAAGACACATGTTGAAAAATTGAAATAAACTTTTCAGAATAATTGAAATGATTCCGTAACTTTGAAGAGATTTTTTTACTTCAAAAATAATCATCTCTTTTCATATTTCTTTCATTTTTCATCCTTTATAACAAAATTTTGCTGCTATGTATTAACTAATATACTTATATTTACTGCTAATATTGTTGTTATGTGCATTGTTATTATGGTTGCTGTTATTTATGGCAATAAAATGACTAGTGTAAAGTTTAATTCAAAATCAGTAAGGTTAAATAGTCAGATTCAAAAATGAGTGAATGTTTTTATTACATAAAAGTTTCGATTTTCTAGAATAAATTCAAATATCTCAACATCGTGAATTGCCTAAAAATGATCAAGTAATATAATGATTAATGAATCAGACTACGAGTGATGCATTTTGCTCTTCGTCTGTTCTTTATTTGGAAACGTATTGGCATTCTTATAGACTAGGTAAATTTCTTTGCTTTATTTTGTGTTCAGCTCGATAAACAGTTGCAGGTGAGAAGACAAGCAACATTTTCTTTCCAAAATCAGAGTAAAAAAGATTGCAAGAATTATCATGCAAGAGCAAACAATACTGCGCAGTAGACTACTTTTAAAAGCAGATATGACTGAAAATAGTTTTAATGTAAGCAACAATATTCCGTGGAAAGTATGATGATAAACGAAGCTTAGAAGACTTAATGGAGAGAAAGCGTATTTATTATCATAATTATTACTATCATCAACATCATTATTATCAAGAGCAACAACATCCGTGTCATCAAAACATGTTTGTGTAATTTTAGAATCAGTGGCGGGTTGCAGTAGAGAAGGCTGCACATTTTAAAAATAAATGATACCTTTTCTTAGCAGTCAATCATTTTATCAAGTATCATAAAGTAGGATTTTTTTTCTCAAAATTATGAATTATCACATATTATTAATATGTTTTAATTATCAGAAAATAGAAAATGGTATGTTTTTTCAGTTTTTTTTCAAATTATTACGACGTATTAGCAATTTTGTACTTTTTATTTGCTAATTGAAAAATTACTGGTAGCAATATACGCGAGTACGACGAATACATGTTTTCGTCCAGAATTCTGCAAACCTTTGAGTAATAATAGTAGTGTAGATGGCTTATTTTCTTGCTGTTATTATTTTTTGAACCGAAAAATTTGTAATTTTTTCTGCAGATATAAACTTCAATAAGGAACAAGCGACGGAAGAAAATAACGTTAACATTATTTGTTTCAATCATGTTTAATATAATTGTTGTCCCTTTATTACTGTTGATCTCAATTTTTCTTCAAATTATGAGCAAACTTTAGGATTTTAAATCACTTTTGAGCCGATTGCACGGTGATATAAATTCATTGAATATACTGATTAATATATGAATTTGTGAGCAAGTAATGCCAAAATTCTGGCAGTAATTTTTGTAGGACTGATACGATGAAATGATTATTGATCATGGTTTTAAAAATTAAAAAATATGGCAATGCTTTTCAGGACTGAAATTTGTAAGCTAATTATTGTATCTAGTGACATTGTGATAAAGTACTTTCGAAAAAAGCGTGGGTTAGTTCATCTATGACTGCATTCTCACAAAAATTTCAATGAATATTGAGATGAAAATTTCTGATTTCCCATATATAACATTTTGAATTTTTTAATGATTATCAAAATGCATAATGAAGTTTTATTTGTTTTAAATACTTTATTGCAGCATTTTCTTTTTGATAAATTACTTCATATTAACATTCACTAAGTAAATGCGGATGATTTCTGCCTTTTATTTTGTACTGTAATTTTAGGACAATTATCGCATTAAATTTTTGATTTAAATGATCAAGTATTAGTTTCAAATAAAAAAGCAAGCATAAATTTTATTAAACACGAAATTTATCTATTGCATTATCCAAAATGAATATGATTATAGTGAATATCATTAATTCATTATCACTTTCCTCTAACTTTTTATCCACACATCTTTTAACTACTTTCATAAATAGTATTAAATATGTGATGAAAATGATGCAAAGTGTCAAGTAAATATCAGTAATTTATGACACAAAAGCAAAGTTAAGAATGTTTTTTGATAAAGTAATTATTGCTAATGAGAATTTCAGCAAAACAGAAATCTATTTTCACCTTGTGATTGAAAACGAAATTCCACATGCTAGCGTATTGTAATGAAGAGTTTCATATGCCTTGTTGTTATTTTATGCTTCCTTTCTTAGATTTTTATTTCTTATTGTTTTGCAAATAACTATAAACCACCTCAGTACTTTAAAAATGAAAAGCAAATTTAGAATTCATTTTTACTAAAGAAATTGTTATAAATGTATTAGATGAAAGTAATAATTTCATTTGCATCTAATTAATTATAAGTTTGTCAATTATTTCATTTCGAAACTAAACACTGCTTTCATTGACATGATATAGCATTGACTATTTGATTTTTATACTACAAGATTAATGCCGTTAGGTCGCTTGCATATATTCTTAAAAAAGAGCAAAGTGAAGATAATGTCAAAGTTAAGATGTGTGAAACGTCAGAACTGTTTCGGTATAAAAAAGACAGTGAAAGTTTAGGACTAGTTTTGAAGTTGAAAGAAGAAATGATGTTAATCATAGTAATTTTCTGATATTATGTAGATAAACATAATGAAGTACATAAACGCATAGCGGTGATATTAGAGATAATCTTGATTAGATTTAGTTGCTAAAAAAATGCATTATCTGTAGAAGTGCTTCATTATACATTATACTTGCTGGTACTACTCATAATTTAGCCAAAATTTTACCTACTACATTCTTGCAAAGGAAGCAAAAAAAAGCGCGTTTTACTTCCGATAATTTTCGAATGCATTTAATCGTTTCAATTTCGAGCCAAGTTTTCATATTTTTTTCATTTTTCATTTCGCATTCAGTGAGAGAGAAATAAATATACAAAGGGTCTTTACAGTAATGTAGATAATATATTTATATAAGATCAAAGCCAAATTAACTGTCAATTTATTGCTTGTATTTGTAGAATGTCTGATGTATTTTTTATAGAATTCGCGTGCAGTTGATATTTTATGTATTCTTGAATAACGATTAGTTGTAGCTTGCTCTAATGCAAAATTTACAATATGGAATAAGAGTAACTAACAGCTAAATTCTAAATTGCCTCTATTGAAATGGTATATGCTTTAGCAGGTAAGTAATCAAAACAACTTTTTGCACCAAATTTTCAAAACTTTCGTGAGAAGTTATGAATATATTCAGAAATGATTTAATTGATGGCAGAAGGTAAAAAGAAGATAGAAACAATATGTCATTTTATAAGTGTTGAATTATCATACCAAAATTTTTTTCAGTATTATTTTCCAGTGATTTGAAATTTAGAATTTTATGCTGTAAATAAATACTTTATTTTTTAGTCTAGTTTGTCACAAAGTATTAAATTGAATAGTTAAGAATGTAATCTCATAGAAATCAAGTAACTATTACATGTATATTTATTTATATTGAGAGAACGTAGGATTATGAAAAAAAAAAGAATTTCATTCACCTATAATTTATTCAAGCTTTTTTAAAGTTTACTAATTATTTTATGACTTTCTTTGAACTTGCAGACACATGTAAGGAAAAAGCAAAAACATGTTTGCTACTTTTCTTGCTCATAAATAAAACATCAAAAAACAAGCATGGAGAGTAATAGTCAACTTCATTGCTTTTTTGTGTTATTTAATGGGTTATAATCAAAACAAATGAGTATTTCCTTCGAATAATGATCTATTCTAATAATGATCATACTTCCTTTTAGTGATCTAATTACTTTGCTAGGTAAAGTAATTAGATATGTGTATTTATTAAGCAGCAGTACAAAACAAAAGTTGAATTTTTTCTTTTTTTTCGCTGATAGTGAACTAAGTGTAGTTTATTATGTGTTAACACAAAAATACTTCTGCGTATTATTACATTCATAAGAAAATTATCAGACGATACTATTTTAATATTGTTTAGTTTTATGAAACTTTAACATGGCTTGCTTGCAAATAAGAGCTCACTAAAAATTCTTGTAATTTGTAAAAAAAAAGTAAGGAATATTGAGCTTGACAGTTTGTCTTTCAGAAATTAATCATTTTAGAATTACAAAATAGCGTTGAAGGATTTTGACAGATAAACTTGATCATTCTGTAACTTGTTGCACATCGAATTTTGCTATCAAGACAATAACATTATATATGCCTTAAAAACTGTTGCGCACTTTTTGCTATCACGTTCACAATAAGGGGCAAATTTCAAACAGATGTAGCTATGATATTTGAATGGATATTCATGGCTCACTGTTATTCTGCTTACAGTAAGTCTCATTTGATTAATTACAACCTTGTCTTGCACATTATTTGCATTATCATCTACATTTGCATTTACGTTTTCATTCCCATTATCATGCTCATAATTGTATCATAATTTTTGTTTGTGGAAGTATTTCAAAGGAATAATTCTTCCTGAGAAACTATATTACTCATTAGACAAGCATTGGAAAAATGTTGTAGTTATTCTTGTTATCATTACAGTTTAAAAAGTAAAGCAAACTTTAATGAACATTTCATCAAAGAGTACTCTTGAACAATTTCAATCTAACGACTTATACTTGTTCCAACTACGGTTGCTTGAAATGCTCTTTATTTGTAACTGTCATTTCATGTTTTAGCAAAAATATCAGTCAGTATGATGAAAATCAATATATTATTCATGATATTTGCTGCTGCAACATATGGTGATTTAATATCAGACTCAACTGATTTCTTCTCTAAAAAATTTACTGATGTGAAGTCACTATTTGCTAACGATGAGAATGTAAGTCATTTACTTTACTATTGCTCTTGTTATGCATATTATCATCAGCAATATTATTCTGCTTACAGTAAGCCTCATAATATTAACAGTTTTATTGGGGATATTATTAGCGGAATGCAAGTACAACTTGTTTCAATCTTTTATTTTACATATATATAAGAGGTACAAATTTATTTTAGAATCATATTTTCTCAAGTATTAAAAAATTATTCAATAATATGTTTTGCTCGAAAACCACTCGGCTTTTGTTTACTGCTAAAATAAATTGGAAGCCAGCGAGAATCGACGTTAAAATTTTTAACTTTTTCATTAAATCTATGCTTTTAATAATAAAAATGAATGAGAATGCAACTTCATCGTTTAGCAATTTGTTCTTCAAGTTTACTTCAACAGTAACATTTCATGACTTTGCACTTATTTTCAAAAAATGTTTGAGTATATTTAGCAACTAAAAGAAAATGTTGGCCGAGTGAAAGACTTGCTGTCATCAATTCAAGGCAAAGAGAGTATGTTGAAAACATTGGCTAATGATGGTCAAAAATCAACGCTTGAAAAAGTTGGCAATATGGTTGCACAAATCAGCAATTTCCAGAAAAATGTTAGTTTCCTATATTTTTTGACTGTACACTGCTTACTCAGCTTAGTTTCTTGAGAGCTCAAGGAATTTTATCAATATCTACATGAACTACCAAAACTATTGCTTTTTTGTGCACATGTTCTCGAAAATCAAACTACTTACATTTACACATGAACAAACAATAAAGGCAGATTTTCGAATTTATACATACAAAAATTTCCTCTGATATCTATATTTTGAATAAATTATCGTTGACTTTTAAATGCAATTAACTGCAGATTACCTTTGATTTTTAAAGTAGCCTCTACTACTAAAAAGAGCACATCGCGTTCTAGTTTAGACAAGAAGTTCTACCACGCCTTGACATACCATTGTGTCAGTAATATCAATGTGTCAATAATTAACACGTGTAGGCATTAATAGTTTTGAAAATTTCTTTTACAATTCCTTTTTTGTTTCCCTCAGACAAGAAGAGCCTGAATGAGGCACTACTATCAAATCGAGAATTCTTTTCATAGCATTTATAATCAATTCGAAATTAATCTCAACTAATTCTATAAAATAACGTTTTTACAAGCTTCGCTTTACTTTACTTCATTAGAACGCAATAATGTTTACTTCGAACAGTAATACTTCGTGCTTCATTATGAGAGATTCTGAATTGCAGATATTAGGAGGTTCGTCCGACTTCAGTGAAAAGAAGAAAAACTGGGAGCAAATTGTGAAGGACATATTTGTTACTCAAGGACTTAATAAGATATTACCTCTACTTCAGAAGCTTCAAAACAACGCCCCCGCCAAATCTGCCGTATCTGTCCTCCTCACCTGTACCATTCCGCTCACAACCATTGCACTGTGGCGTTAAATCCGAAAACAACACGCAACACTCTCCAATCCCCACATTACACCCTTACACACCTTCCCGTTCACTAACTACAGTCATATACGCGTCTACCACATATGCATAGAAACATATAATATAATGCATGCATATAGACTAATAAATATTCACACCTTTATTATGCTTAGTCTAGACTAGGCTTCTCTCCCTCCTTTTTCATTTTGCATACTTCAATACGCATTATTCTGTTCTGAATTATTGAATTCCAACTTTGATTTGTATTTTCGTCTAAATTTTGAATCTTTTTTCTTACAGCGAATTAAATAACATCCATGTGCCTTACTGTTTGACATATATCAACATAAAGTGAGCAAGAACATTTTGATGACAATATTAAATTATTAAATTATCAAAACTAAGAACAATTAACAGCTTGTCATACAAAGCGAAAATATAGAATGCATAAAAAACGAAATTCCAGCCACATAATAGTGCGTGCAAGCTGCACCCCTATAAAACGAAACAATTGCCGGTTTACACGAGTAACCGATTGAATCAAATCTTAAAAGCGTAATATCCCAGTCAACAAATGGAACACTTCTCTCACAATGAATTTAACTTAAAACTTATGTCGACACTTTCTCTTTCAAGAAACATTAAACAAAAAAGACTGAAATCTTTACTCTTCTACAAAAAAGACGGTTCTGGATCTAAACTACACTAATATGATATCCCGTCCTTTAAACTGAAATTTGGAAAATCGAAATCACAATTAGGCAAACTAATACAAGATTTGATTACAGTGTCACAACAAAAGTTGAAGTACATTTTTATTAATGTCATTACTAAACACTTCAAACTTGAAGTGGACCTGAGTTCTGACCACAAATTACTATATATCATGATGATAAGGGAATGCCAGAAGCCAATTTCAATAACAAAAGTAGATAAGTGGAAAATTTGGGAAATGTTTTGCAGCAATGAAAATGCTTAAAGAAGAGAAAATAGAATAAACAAATTACTTAACTCTTTAAGTGATGGTTGTATTTCAAGGATTAATCGCACACGAAACTGCGGAAGTAATGTGACAAGACCGAAAACTAATAGTCATATCAAGTAATTCCAAACCTCTTCCGTGAATTTTTTCTAGACAAACATTAAACAAAATTTGATTCCTACTACATCAATATCTACTGATACAACACTTGCCACAATCAACAAATGAAGTCCTGATTATTGTACTGCATGATCAACGAGAACATCGAAATAATATTTTTTTAACAACACTAGTCACTTGGTGAAAGAAATAATCCAAACAAGACGCAACAAATTTCGTAATGATAACTATAGTAATTAAGAGTTATTAATAACATCTCATAAGCTCCACTCAAGCTCATAAGTTGATGCAAAACAGAAAGCAAAATGGATTCTGTTTGAATTTATAACAAATAATTTATATAAGCAAGCAAGTATTAAAAAAACAGAATGCATTTTACTTTAAACGACATATTCTAGTATTTACGGTGGAATGTAGGGTGGAGGCTGTCTTTGATTTGTGTATGCATTTCGAGGTCGTGGACTGGAAGCAGCAGAAAGCGGAGGAGGAGGTTTATATAGAGGATTTTCATGCTGCGAGATAATTAATGGTGGGCGTTCCTCTTTAACTAACATTGGTGTTGACACTGCTGCAGTTTCATCTTCGTAAGGGATTTCTTCTGGGAAAACTACCGGCAAACCCTTTGACATGTACTCCGATTGCACTTAAATTAAAAAAATTCTGATCCCTCATTTATGCGAAAATATAGCATAAAACTTGAAGAAACTTCTTGCTTTTACAATGAAAATTTAACCATTTAGAATAGCAATAAATTTCTAAACACATTGATGGAGCAAACCTGTTTTCTTTTTCTTCCGTCTTACCAGGCAGCAAAACAGTACTAACGTTGCAGAGAAAAATATAAGAAAAGCAATCAAAGCGACAGGCAACCACAAATAAGCAGGTGAATCGTTGTAATCTGGAGGAAGAGATGTAGTTGATGATGGAATATCAATCCCTGCAAGGTACGAAGTTGAGTAATGCTCAACGCAAGGTCCTGGAACAAAAACGTAACTTTACAATTAATGAATAGAAACGATTTTCCGAAATTGTACAAATATAAAAAATCATATCATAAATGTACTACAGAACATGCCACAAGAAGTTTTTCCTCATTTTGTTTAACAAGTGACTTTTTGCTACAAAAATTTATAATTACTACAAATAATGTTAGCATAAAGAACAAATAATAAAACTTTGTATATTTACCTTCAAGCTCTAATTTCACACTTCGCACAGGGAACCGGCTATCCATCGCTCGAACGAATTCAGCTCGAATACGATCCCGTTTTCTTGTGAGCATAATATGTTTAATCGCATCGATCGCTTTTTTTTGACAATATTTGTAGGGAAGTGAAGCATTTGAGAATGTAACTCGAGTCCGACGCCTTACGCCATCAACTGGCTCAATTTTTCTGTAAAGCTTCAATATTCTATTGCTTTCCGCACCACAAATTTAAATGCTTCATTTTACTAAAAGTTTATTAGCACCTTTGTGTTGGAAATAATAACCTGAAAATTAGGTTTTTTGGATAACGATCTCCTAAAGAATTAGCCAATTTCTCCGCAAATGCACATATAACATCCGGATCCTTCGTTAACCGTTCAGAACTGTGATCAACATCCAAAATAAAAAAATGATTCGTCGATGGTTCAGGAATAACGGTCACTCGAAATGGTGCAGATGTCATCTGCCAAAATGAAAAACCATTAGCACACAACTGTGAGAAATGAAATTTACAATAACATCATGCTTTCTAAGATATATATATGAAAATTGTGAAGTCTTAACAAGCTTCATCACTAGAAATCTAGATCCCTTATTTCAACTTATCCTCAGACTATTATTAGTAACGTATCAGTCCATAAATTATTCCATGAATCATGCAAAATGTAATAACAGTTAATGAAAAACCTGATTAGCTGAATCTCGAGCTTCCAATCGGAATTCATAGTCTCCTGTACGCAATGAGATACCATGTAAAACTTGTTTATTTTTCTTGCTCAAAGTAAGCCAGTTGTTATCAGCAGCAATGGGAAACACAGACAAAGAAAGAGAACGTGTGTTTCCATCTTCTGCATCTATGAATGTTCCCACTGGAACAATGTATTCACACATCATACCTCTGGAAATGAAAAGACCAGTATAACAAAAAGATGCAAGGAAAAGTTCCTAACGATCAAAAACTAAATGTTTACAATTGAAACTATAATATGATAAAATGCACCTTTTGCAAATAAATGTTTGAAGTGAATGCAGTCGTACTGGAGGTTTGTCAATCTTCTTTGTGGAGCGTGAAGAACGTGTAGTGGTCATGATCGATGTAGAGTCTAGGAGAACAAATGGTTCATTTGTAGCAAATTCAGATATATAGGACATTATATCTGCTCCAGCTATATGATTCCGCTGCTTCCGTGGTAATAAAATTCCTTTCGTCAGCTGTAAGTATGGAATTATCTAAATCAGAAAAAAATATGAATAAAAAAAAAGCATTAAAAGAAGCAACTAGGTTATTTAGAAGCACCTATACTACTACTTAGTGATATAGGTGTTTTTAAGCAAACCTGTACTACTAATTAATAATATAAGTGTTTTTAAACACCTATATCATTAATTAGTAGTACAGGTTTATAATGCATGCCAGACTTCAAATTTCAACTTATACATGCCTCATCTGCTATGAGTCGTTTTCTGCATATGCTAAATACAATTAAAATATAATTTGAAAATCCGTCTCCTTTATAATTTCAGAAGATATAAGGGTATCAGAAGATGAAATACAAATTTTATAATCAACAATTAAGTGTGAGAAGACTGAATTACACACTTGCAAATAGAAATTTCCCTCGCAGATACATAAATCACTGTACTTACTTCCCACCCCATAAATTTTTGCTGTGATTCCGTTACCGCTTTACTTCCGTCAAAAGTTAGAACTTTTTCCAGTATATTTATAGCATCTTCATCCACTTCCTCACACGAAACTTTCCAGATAATTACTGTTGAATCATCTACAGGTTTATAATGCATGCCAGACTTCACAATTTCGGTGGTTCTTATTTCTTCTTTGTATTTATTTGAGTAAACACGCAATAAGGAACTGAAAAAATAGCTTATTTTAGAATGAACTTATCAAACCCACAAATTACAGTGATAAATCGAAAAAGATTAATATTGGCTATTGGCCCTTCAAACAGATGTGATTGGTCAATTGTACCAAGGTAATTATATATATACATATATGTTAAACGAGCACTCTTATAAGTTCAAGTATAGAAACATTACTGAACAAGGAAATATAAAACGCATATTTCAGCTTACCTGTTGACAGAAAAAAAGTTTGATAGAATATCAACAAGATGTAACTGATCGGCAATACTCAAACTATTCAGTGATGTATTAAATACAATTTCTATCCACAATGTGTTTCTTTCATTACATGGATTTTTTATTTCTTCACTGACTGAGATTTCCACTACATCACTGATTTCATCACTCGTAATGCGCAAAAATGTTTTTCCGATATGAACAGGTTGAGGTACACCTTCTAAAACTCTGAAATGATATAATTTAATATATCTTTTTCTGTGTTAATAAAAACGTAACACCACCGAAAACTGTCCGAATTTTAAAAGAATTGAAGCACATACTGCTCATTCTTCCTCCAAATCAGCCACGTTGGCAGTTCTTCTCCAGATGCGTCCTGAACACTAACTACATTTGAACTGGTTTGAAATGCATAATAAAACGGCTGACCAACAAATAAATCAATTAATTCTGGTATGAGAGCCACAGCGCGAACTGTACATATTAATAATGGTAGTAAGTAAAATTTGAGAAATCCCATCTGAAATTTAGTGATGTAAAATTAGTTTAATAAACGTTATTAAGACGTTTAGAACGTAAAATGGATATACTAAATACGATGTGGAATGTCATACAAAAATGCAATTTACTTTACGAATAACAAAACGAAGAAACACATGATTCTTGTGGTAGAAACGTCAAATAGAAAACCAGTTCAAATTGAATAATCATAGAATGACTAAACAATACTTTGCAATTGTGCAGATTTTATATCAACAATCAAAACTGTTTCAATTTACGAACTGAAACATAAATTTTAAACTGTACACACATCTAAATATTAATTAGTATATATTAATTAAATAGCATAATAGAATACTAAATGAATACTAAAACTTTTTAGCAAATGCTTTATCAAACATAGACATTTTCCCGCATTTCCTCTCGTAAATTGGTAAAAGACATAGGTAGTAGATGAGGACATGATGTACTATGACAGAAAGTGAGTAAGATGAGAAACATAGAAAAGGATATAATAATTGAAGAATAGATAAACACTCGCATACATATGTACATACATACAGATAGAAAGGCGAGATCAACGTGTAATTATGATCGAGTTAGAGTGGATGGATACATATTAGAGAAAAGAATGAATGAAAAGTTAGTATAATTTGAGGAGAAAACTAGAAGGAGTTAAAGTAATACTATAGCATAGCATGAAAGAGTAAACATATGAATGAGTTGCTAGTGTTCGTGCTTTTTACGACAAATACTTGAAAAATAGAAAAAGGTTTGGGCTTGAATTGCGAAAATTTGTGTACAAGACAACAGTAGTTGCCATCCAGGGATGTAATGGAAGCAATATAGGTAGGTATGTCGCCAATGGTAGAAGTGGAAGCGACGAACTAGTTTTTCTTCTTTATTATTGTGATGAATTTTGCATGAAAATGACAGATTGATTTTTTTAAAGTAAAGAGTGAATAAAGATAAAGCAAAAAATTTACGTGCAAAGTATAATACTTAAAAAGGTGTAGTAGACTCCATCTCTATCCCCTCTTTTCAATATTTCCTTCAAACGATCTGTACTGAGTAATTGCTGGCTGGATTGGTTCTCAAATCATTTGCCGCTCATTCTTTCTGATTCATGGACTAAAATATTGCTTGCTTCAGATTTTAATTATTTTGGATATCATTATTATCGTTTATCTGAAAGATGACCATATTAATCAACTATACAATAAATTAATGGCTAGTATTTTGAAATTTTCTCAACTTTAAATACGACATTATGCATAAGACATTGCTCTTAAGTCGTTTTTTCCTGTTCTTTTTTCATTCCTTTGTACATGTATGGTTTATGCGCTGCTGTGTCTAACATATTTGCATTTTAGTTCACGACGGACTGTTTTTGGTAGTCAGCAGACTGAAATTACTACATATATTGCAGATGATCGGTTAGCTCGCGATGGCAGATAATTCGTGCAATCCATTGCCAAAATGTAGATGGCAAGTGCACCTGTTAGCTGGATCAGTTGCCGGTCTTGCTGAGCACTGCTTGATGTTTCCATTTGATTCAGTTAAAACTAGATTACAAAGTTTGTGTCCATGTCCAGAAACAAACTGTCCAACTGCTATGCATAGCCTCTTTTCAATGGTGAGACGCGAAGGGTTGTCGCGTTCCTTAAAAGGAGTTAATGCTCTTGTATTAGGTATTGTCCCAGCTCATGCTCTATACTATGGGGTTTATGAAAAGTTGGTTTTACATTTCTTTATTATCATTTCTGTTTTTTGTACTTTTAATTGGTTAAGAATTTTAATTTCTAATTTTTTTTGTGTGGTAAAGTTCTTTAAACCAATCGTGGACGATTGGTTTATTTGCCATTAATTTATATCATTGAGAAAAATTCTCGTCAAAGTCTTCTTACTATGTGAATGTCAAATTAATAATTTCTCTGTAAAACAATCTTCTTTTGAAAATGTTTAAACTCATGTCCATAAAGTTTCATGCATAAAGCAAATATTAGTATTGAAGAGTGAATGCTTACAGATCCAAAGCTTATTTATTAAATAACCAACTGGTGTCATCTGCTTCAATGTCATATGCAGTATCTGGGATGCTTGCTACAGTTGTCCATGATGCGGTAATGAATCCTGCTGAGGTGTGATATTTTCTTTCTTTTCATTAAACCATAAATGTAATTTCGTTGTTAGTAGTGTAGAAAATTGGTTACTGAAGGAGATTTTTTGTCTTTGAGATCAGTCATCAGAGAAAAGTGTATTGATTGTGAAGGATAAAATTGTATCATTTTACTTACACTAACGTTTTGTTTTTTAGGTGGTAAAGCAACGTATGCAAATGATTTTTAGTCCATATGGTAATAGTTTAGAGTGTGTTCGATGCGTTTATTTACGAGAAGGACTTAAAGCTTTTTATCGTTCATATGTTACGCAGTTGACTCTCAATGCACCCTATCAATGTGTTCATTTCATGATATATGAATATTTGCAAGGATTATTGAATCCGCATCATGACTATAATCCATCTTCTCATTTTGTTGCTGGAGGTGAGTTTTTGTCAGCTACATTTTTCCTAAAAATTTTTATCTTATTTTAGTATTTGCTGCAGTCTGCATTTCTAAGATTGAACAGTAGCACAAATATTATTTACATGAACTATATTAGTAATGAATGATGCTGTTAAATCTGTTATTTAGAAGTACGAGAGATCGAGGTTCGATTTTTTTTTTTTTGATATACTTATTTTTAAGCTAGAAAATTAGTTGCTTTTTTGTGTGGAATATCGAAATCTGTAAAGCTTTACAGGTATTGCTGGTGGAGTAGCTGCAGCTCTCACAACTCCTTTTGACTGTGTGAAAACTGTTTTGAACACGCAGCAAACGCCCAGGTTTAATACTAAATACCGTTTACTGAACGAACCTGGAGACATTTACTACAGGTATCTAATTTAAATCACTCACTAGACTTGGCATCTGATCTTTTAACTCCATACTTGCATTATCTCTTCATCTCAAATCTTAATTAGTTCTAGTAGTTGGAAGATTTCTTGGTTTTAACTTTAAAGTTTTGATCGTATATATACTTTTATAGGGGCATAATTGATGGTGTTCGCAATATCTATTATCTTCGAGGTACAAGCGGATTTTTCCGTGGCTTTCAAGCTCGAGTAATATTTCAAATCCCTTCTACGGCACTCAGCTGGTCAGCCTATGAATTATGCAAGTACATTTTTTCTGTCGGAGTTTGATATTAAAAAGGATTCCATGGGCAGATTGACTGAGTGTCTGCGCTCTCTTAAATGATGTCTAAACTGTTTAATTGGAATTGATCAGTTGATTGTTCGTATTATGTCGAATTGGCCAAATGTCATAAGTGACACGGCTCATTGTAAAATTTATTGTGCTTCTTCTATGTGGTTGTAAATTACATCTTTTCTGATTACTGTTGTTTTTAATTTTCCTTAACTCTATTATGATGGGTTTCATTCGAATCGTACTTCTATTCTAGTTTCATATTTATTTTTACTGCTTCTTAAACTGATGGTAAATAAAAATTTATTCACAATGATTTTTTTGATCAGAATGTTTTAGTCATACCTGGTATATTTCAAGACTCTCAAAGATGATTCATGGTCTGGATAAAGTTTTATGAGTTTACTTTCTGTGTTTTGAGTTTATCGGAACATAAGGCTTCCATTATTGGTTAGAATTATGTGATAAATATTGCTTGGCTTGCATCGTGGGTATTGTTTTATTTGGGAATGGTAAAAAATTAGTTTGGTATGTGGTTCAATGTATGAAGTAAGTTTTGCAAGCTTCATGTGTTGTACTTTTAAGGGAGAAATGGCAGATGGTGGTAAGGTTGAATTACAGTCAGGTGACAGTGTATCTCTGCAAGATCTTGGTTCGCACTATGCTTCATTGGAGGAGGCAAATGATTGTATCGGTTCCGGGGATTTAGTCTCTGGCTCTGATGTTACTAGATGTGATGACTTATTAAGTAAGAAACGTCATTTTGAGCAAGCCGTAATCAATATCAAGATCGATTTCAAGTCTCTTGAGTGGGATCTTTTTTCTGCTAGTGCAGATCAGTGTACAATGATTCCATTTCTTCTTTTGAGTGCAAGTATCGCTTAATAATTTTGCTACTTGTAGATGGATCAAAAAATACAGTTCCGAATTCTGGTGATGCGTCTGCTACAAGGAAAGATTCTGAAGGTTCTGGAGATGATGTGAATTTGCATATGGGATGTACAGAGACTGGTAATGATAGGAATGAACCTGGATGCGTCGAACAGGTGAAGTATCTTATTATCTTAAATGGGCTTCATTATTTCCGCTCTATGGATGTTACTCATCTATGAAATATTAGCATACCTTTCAGTTATCTAAATTTTTATTCCTATATATTGTATCCTGTTACGTGTTTAGGGACACTGTTATGGTGGGTTCATGTTTAATCGAAGTCGTCCACTCGAGCCAGTACTTCTAATGGAAACTGGTATATTGTTGTTCAGCCTATTATATATTTCAGTCATTTAAAAAAATTTTTTACAAGGTGGTTGCTGTATTTTTGTAGACTTTTGAATATCCAGTATTTATTTCGTATTTTTTCACTATTAAACTTATGATTTGGGTACTTTAAAAAAAGCAGACGACACCATTAAAAGAGCATGCTTAGTGTCATCTCTGTATGTGAGTGAATAAATTTAATTTCTTGCAGTGACAGTTTTGAATTATCCATTTGCTCCCACAGCCATACCAGTTGGTGATGATGAAGAGGAATTTCGGAAATCTCTTGCTGATGCAAAAGTAAGTTTACAGTATTTGAATTTCATCATTTATTCCTTTTACAAGATTTTGCATTTATAGTGCATATGTAATTTGCTCTACTGATTGCCGAGTAGTTGACATCGAGCGGATCAGTTGCCGGAGTGTTCGAAGTGGAGTATAGGCAGAAGGCATTCTTCATTTCTACTTAATTTTTCGCTTTTTGCTAAGCTATACTATGGCAGACCATAGCAAGGGTGTAATATCTATCTATCCATCTGGATTGTAGCAGAAAACAATGGGAAAACAAATGAGATTGTGAAAAGCTCCATGAAAAATGTGAGAGAGCACTTTGCCAGTGTACCAGAACCAGGAATGAGAAATGATTATGCTCGAAGTACTCATTCGAGGAATCAAAGTTCTGCAGCAGATGGCCAGGAGAAGCACACTGAAGACAGTTTTTGAAAGGATGTCGGCAAGGAGATGGTTTTTATATCGTTCCTTGTATCGCGAGAAGTTTGAGTGTGCGATTAACCTTCAAGAACTAAAGAAGGAGGCGAACTCTGCGATCACTAATATTGCAGGTCGTCTATGCTCGCAGAAGCGGTTCTTCAAAGTATCAGCGAAGCTAGTCTTGGTTAGCTGACATCTACTTCGAGGAAAATACGCTACTTGAGTCTAGACTTTCCCAGACATAAAGCAAATGTCTAATGCAAAAAGCTCAGGTACATGAGATAGACCAGACAAGGTAGACGAAGAAAACAATATCGGAGAATGTTTACTCACTTATACTTGGAGCGGTAAACCAAGCGGTGGGTGAATATACTATAGTCAATGACTTATGCCGCCGGACAGCTCTAGTTAGGACAGCAGTGTTACGAAAAGATCACAAGACGCCCATATTCACATAGAGAATGACGGTTTTGAAGCAGAAAAAGGCTCATGACACATATTTAGCAATTATTGTGCCTTATCGTGAGACTAAGTACAACTTAGCAGGTTATCTAACCGTTGAAAAATCTAATATTAGCCCAGAAAGCGCTCCTGTATAACGAGATAGAAATTGAATTCATTATGCAAAGCTATACAAGATGGGGAGTAATGAGCTAACCTCAATGGTCGATTCATCATTGTAGCTGCTATACAAAAACATCCTACAATATAAAGCACAATACTATCGTCTCTAAAATAAAAATATGTATGGGATTGGGAAAAGTATGTGCCCACATTGTAGGGAACGTGTGAAAATGGTGGACCATAATGGCGACTCTGTGAGAACATACTCTATCATGACTATACTATAATTTTTGTACTATAGTGATTAGAATAATTGACTGGACATCCTAAAATACCATACTAAGAAACATGAAGTGATCCTGGTAAAGGTTGGCACTAGTTGGGACAGCTTGATAATAGTCGAGACCGAAAAAAAAGTGAAAGTGTGAGCTATTGGCTAATAAACTGTGGGCAGCGATGAAATGCAGAGGATATTTATATGTGTATTGTTCTCTCTTTAGGTTTATTTGGTTGGCACTGCTCATTTCTCACCTGACAGTCAGCGAGATGTCCTGGAAACAATTGCAATTACTCAACCTGATATGGTTATGGTTGAACTTTGTCCATCTCGTATTTCAGTGCTCTCGCTGGACGAAGAAACTCTGTTTGAGGAAGCCAAAAACTTGACTTTGAATAAAATAATCAATACAATCAAACAGGTATGTCGTGTACCGTTTTTGAAACATTTGTTTAGATCTTGTGTTCATAAGATTTAGATTTAATGTTCATTATGTATATGAATTTAGTTTATTTAGAACGGTATAGTTCGAGGAATACTCAATGTTTTACTGTTGTCGATGTCTGTGCATATGGCAAGAACTTTGGGTATGGCACCGGGAGGAGAGTTTCGTGCTGCTCACAAGTATTGCTTTATATATTAATGTTGTTGAAAGAAGTAGTCTTCGAACACTTCTGTTATCAAAATTGTATTTTTAAATAGGGAAATCTTTTGCTAAGAATGATTCAATTAAAGTTTTTGAACCTGTTTCTGGCTCCTTTTTTGATAATTTTTCCAGAGGAACAGTGAGTGTAAAAATGTGCAAACTGATTTTGGGTGATCGACCAATACATGTGACTCTACAGAGAGCTCTCGGTTCTTTGGGCTTTTTTCAAAAACTTCGACTTTTCTATCATATTATTCTGTGTCATAAGACTGTAATTACGTAAGTTGATCTGAAGTATTTTATCGTCGATAATTTTTGCATTTCCATGCATTATGATTTTTAATTCATTTTCTAATTCTTAAGGCAGGAAGAAATAGAAAGATGCAAGAAATCAGGTATGTTGGAAGAACTAATGAAGGAAATGGCCGGTGAATTTCCTTTACTTACGAAAATTTTCGTTGATGAACGGGACTTGTACATGACTAATGCATTGCATACTATACTTAAAAAGTCTACATTCGATAAGCGAGTAGCATGGAGTAAAACCAATGGTGACGTTTTTATGATTGAGTGGAATAACTTTCCAGTTTACATACAAAAGTTAAATGATCTGTCGGATATTCTATGGTCTATATATGCATGTTTTGCTTAATGTTTGTTTTATATTCAGACTTTGTTGACTAGCTTTGCATTTATTGATTAGCTGAATTAAAACATTTGCGGGAGTAAAATTGAATTTTCGCTTTTTGACGATCATGGAAATAACTGAAAGTTAATCATCTAAAATGGATCAAAAGTGCATGACTATGTGTTTAATATTAGATTTCTCTTGAACTAAAAACATTTTTATTTTTAGCCCCTTGGCAGCCAGTATCTGTTGTAGCCGTTGTCGGTATTGGGCATGTTCCAGGTATTGTTTCGAATTGGACTAAAAAAGTTGACGTTGGCGAATTGCTGGTGTTAGTTTTTCTTATTTCATCTCCTTGTTCAAAAGAACTGAATTATGTAATTCTTTATCAAATTTGTTGCACTTTTAAATTTGTTAATATTTTCTGTTCGAATAAAATTGAATACCGAGTTTCATTTAATGTATTTCATTGAATCTTTTTGGTTTGCATTTGTTATATAGCAAGTTTTTGTTTAATTAAAAATTTGGCTATCTCTCATTTACTGTTGTTGTCTAGAAAGTCCAGCTAAGAATTTCAGCTTGGAGGACGTTTACTGTACTTAAATTTTTCTGCATCATTTCATGGTTTCAGTATTCCACAGATGACTCGTACCGAAAAATTTGTGCGGTTCAGTTTGAAGGCATTAGTTGTTGGCGTAATGGGATATGCAGTTTACAAAATTGGTTCAAAAGTGGCTAACAAACTTGAAATGATGATGAAATGACGCAGTTGTTGAGCTGTTTTTGTTAAGAATGCAGTCTCCATGGATCTTTTCCTTGGTTTGCCATCATTGAAGAGTGTATACATTTATAGTAATTATTTCAATTTTGTAGTTATATTTCTCCTCAGCTCCTTATTAGAGTCGTTGTCCTTGCTCGTTCTGATGAAGAAATTTATCTATTTTTAGATGTTTGTTTTTTTCTTTAATGCACTTAAGCAATCATGAACTTAAATCCTGTAACTTTAACATCAGTAAAGTAAGAATTAGTCAGTGAACTTGTCTATTTTATGCACTGATTTCAAAAATTTCTCCTGGGAAAATGTGATTTTTTCTGCAGTCTCGCAAATTTCAATTTACTGGTGTAGCATATGGTAGTTTGTTGGATCACCTGGTAAATGAGTTATTTTGGTATTTTACTTTGTTTTTCTGAATTGTCATTAAAACAAGAAGTTACTCGAAAGCTTTCCTGTTCTTTTGTTTCATTTTGTAAAATAAATTGAAATATTATGTTTTTAGAAATAGTTTCTTATACTTAATTTTTATTTTTCTAATTAATAATCAGATGGTGCGTATAATGTCATTTTATGCTTGTTGTTCCTTCGAAATTGTCAAATTATTTTAGACATTGTGTCTTCCGCGATGAATTGTCTTTTACTTACTGTGTATAAGAACAGATCAGTTTCCACATTAATGATTGATATAATGTTTGGCTTGTATGATACCATTATGTCAATGATGAATTGCTGTTTGAAGTTGAAGTTGTAGATTGATGTATGCAAGTCAACTTGTTGCCTTATTATGGTCTTGTGATGTTGCTTATAGACTTAGTAAGTTCTTCTAGATGACATCCATACAAATCTAATTCGAAGATAGTATTCCATGCCTTTTTGGCTAGAATGATACCTTTAAAGTCAGTGATGAATTGTTGCTTCAAGATGATGGGTGGATTTGTGTATGCACGCCAAATTATTGCCTTATTGTGGTCTTGTGTTGCATATGGCATTTGAATATCACTGATTTTAGCTCTAGCATTTGACTTTGTCGTCTATTACTCTAACTCGTATTTTTAGCACAGTTGTGGCGTTAGTTCTGCTCTATCATTACTGTAGGATATTAGTTTTAGCGGTTGTTTTATTCGACCCAAGCAACTTTAATTTTTCGTATTAATATTGGTGCGCAGATGTGTTATAAATTGTTAATATACTGGATTTTGCTGAGCCGAATTGTTTCCTGGTTGATATTTTAGTACAGTTTGAGTAAATATTTGGTATGTATGACTTTGAGAAAGTTTTAGATGAAGTGGTATATCCGTTGAGTTCAATAAGTGAAAGTACTGTTCGATCTGGTAGGACATCGTATATCCATTTGTTGTTATTTTACTCTTGCAACTAAGGGGCAGGCTGAGGAAAAGGGGTGTTTTTTATGAGCATACTTGGGGGAACAGAGTGACTATTGTTTCGCAGCTGAACACGTCATCTCGGCGTAATTTTCAACTCTTGCAATCCCAGATATAGTTTGCTTAATGAATGGATGTAGTGAGAAGACGTGGAGGTGATGGCATTCAGTAAGAAATTGGGGAGTTATGAGACGTTGGGTCATCTTTCGATGCTAGTGCTGAGTATGCATTGAGGAGGTAGCAAGACATGTTGTAAGTTGGGGAGTATGGGAGTATGACATTGAGAAGGTGGCAAGTGAGACCGAGTGGTATGTATGATTTTTGAGATGATGTAATGTGTGCAAACTATATTTTGGGGTGAAAAAGGAAATAGTGCAATATGCAATAAGCGTACTACCTTGAGTAAGAAATGTTTACATAATTTCTTGCTTGTTTGTTATCTTATAGATATCATAATGTATGACAAGATTACAGAGTACTTTAACGTAGTATATGGTAGCATATTGGAATACATAAATGACTTGAGTAGTAGTAGTATTGTATTAGTGATGATGTGCAATGTAAGAAACCATAGTGTTTGGGAGTCAATCAGAGAATTTAATTTAGCTCTCTTATTTGTAATCCTTTTTTGAGCAAATTTGTCTAAGGAAAAGAAAGATGGTGGAATGTATTACTTCTGGTGTGTGATATCTGAATAATTATGGAAGTATGACTAATTACTTTAACTAGATTATGGTAGTAGTCTAAGTAATTGGTCTCTGAATCTCTCAATCAGGATTATTAGGACATTTTTATGTAGTGGTGCAAAGGACAACATGGAATGAATGTCTGTTGCAATGAAATAATTTGGTAAGGTGTGTGGAGCACTTATTCATAGGTTAAAAATTAATGTAATTGAAATTGGGCGGAGTGTAGTGTAAACAACAGATTTGGTCGATTCAAATGATTGAAGGCTAAGTGTTGCGTGCGTCATGAGACACTGTGATAGCAGCACTTGCGCATTAAGCATGAAACTGGCAGAAATTTGTAACCCCATAGTACGAAATCAGTCGAAGCGCAATGATTTTCATTCATACATCATTTTTTTTTCTTTTGCTATTGTACAAAACGTAGTTATGAATAGTCCGTGCATTTTTAGTTCCTTGCTGAAATATTTCAGCAGTATATGTTTTAATTCTGCATGTGATGTAGATTTTGCGAAACGTGTGACATTTGTTAGCATATTCAGATTTGCAAAATTTTCGGCAAGTTAATCAGTGAAAACTAGTTATTTTCGATTTCATATTATATTTGTGTGTTGCATTTCAGAAAGATATTTAAAAAAATTAAGTTTCTTAAATTAATTTGTGAAAATTGCAAAACAAAAAGAAAGTAAGGTCGAAAAATATTTAATTATTTTTCAAATATTATTTTCACTGTTTCAAAGTACATTTACGTGTTGCATTTGAAGTTCAAAAAATATTTTAAAAAATGAATTTAGGTCACTGCAGAGCAGAAAGGGGTGAGGTTTGTTCTGTAGATGTTTCGAACTGATAAGAATTTCATGTCTTAGTGGTTATACCAGTCTTTTACTCTATTCTATTTGATAGTTCTTTTTTCACCTTCCATATACGTGGAATGGCTATTTTTTGTTTCATCTTTCTGATATTATTATTGACTTCAAATATTTATAACTTAATAATTTAGCTCCTTGACTGTAGCGTATTTTAAGTACATTGCTTTGTTCAGTAAATTGAAAAGTCAGAGATTTTCTGCTAATACTTGGTATTCAGGAAGTATGGAGGAGTTGAAACAGATTGCTCTAACATCACCCTTTCAATATGAAAATGCTGTTCAACATATTAGTACTCTACGCACTTCTGCAATATATGTTTCCATTGCATATGTTATTGCTATCTTCTCCATCAAATTTATCATGACTCGATTCAAGCCGTTTCAGGTTACTTTCATTGCAACAAATTTCTCTAAATGTGCAATTCATAATTTTTTTATTGAAGATTTTTATCGCATTACTTATTGATTATAATGCTAACAAAGTGCCCTTTTTGAGTTAAACTCGAGTGTTAACTTTTTTACTATAGCTTACAACTGCATTGAATTTATGGAATACTTGGTTAGCAGTGTTTAGCTTGTTGGGCTCATTTTTTACATCGATTGCACTCTTCACAGAAATTTTCAATCACGGACTTACAGGTATGTGTGTATTCTGTTATTTAGCTACATAACATTGATTTATTTATTTTAACCTTGGTACACTGGATTTTTTTAGAATGTATAGCTATCGTTAATAAACGTTGATGAATTTTTTGGAGAAGTTTTCGTAAATGTGGTTGATTTAAAGTATATATGGTTGGATTTTTGGTTGAACGTAATGTGTAAAGCATATCAATTCCTGTCCAGTTATGATATAATTATATTTCACATCCTACCAAGTTTTTAATTACAGTTGTTTTGGATCCATAATTTTATTCATTTTGTAGCATCTTACACTAAAACTGGAGATTTTTTCGAGGGAACTAGTGGTTATTGGTCATGGCTATTCTGTTTATCCAAGTTTGCAGAACTTGGTGATACTTTATTGATTGTATTACGCAAAAAGCCATTAATTTTTCTGCACTGGTATCACCATGTTTTAACGCTTAACTATGGCGTTATTTCCTATAGTCAGCATACACCGTACAACTCTTGGATTATATGGCTCAATTTTACAGTTCATAGCTTTATGTACAGGTTAGCTAGCTCAAAAAACTATCAATATGTATAATACCTTTTGCTCTTTTAAGACAAACTCTTAATGATGGAATCATAAATTTTACAGTCTTTTTATTGGTATACTCGTTCTTTTTTCTAAACTTGTTTTTTGATAGTAGCATATTACCACATTTCTTGATATCGTGTTTTTGAGGATTTCAAAATATTCATTACAGTTATTACTTCTTGCGATCGATTCACATTCGCGTTCCGGCAGCTATTGCACGCAACATTACATCGATGCAAATGTTGCAGTTCGTTATAACGTTATTTATTCTTGTACACGTTGGTTATTTGATGTCTGTTGGCGAAGTTGTTGATGGAACACTGAACACGTATTTACTCTGTTTGGGAATGGAAATTTCTTATGTTATTCTTTTTGCTAATTTTTATTACCAGTCTTATGTGAAAGGTGGTGGAAAGAAATTTAAAGAAGAAAAAATGATGTCTAAAAAGGAATGAAATTGATGCTAAATTTTTTTATTTTTACTTTAATCTTTGCATTTGTGTGATTTCATGATTTCTCGCGTCCTTGGCTTGTGAACCATTAATTATAATAATTTTAAAGACTTTGTTCAGTTTTCTTTAGTTTATGCAGAAAATGAGATTATTTCTAATCTTTACTCTATTATTTATCAGTATGTTATTCATTGAAGCTCGTTCAGTCCTATAAGTTTCAGTTTAAAATGGTTACTTTGTATGCATTTAATTGTGAACAGATGGATTGTTGATTACATGAACCTTATTACTCGTGTGATAATGTCTAAGTTATGCGTTTATTTCATATAAATGCATTTTATTGACTTTTCATTTCGGTATGAAGGACAAAGAGCAGGAAATACACTATATGTTTTGCGAGTGGAGTGCATACCTGAAGGCCTCCAATTCTAGAGTTCACGTTGTTGCTCAACAGTGTTGCATGAGCAGCGGTAATGTCTGACATGGGATAAGACGGGGTGATATAGAATAGGACAGGATAGGATATCACGGGATGGAATTTGAGGAGGAAGATTTTTGTTCTGTTACTGTAGACCCTATAGAATGCTTTCATTCAGCCATTTTCCTGCATGTCTCTTGCTTTCTTCACCTGTTACCTTTTAGAGATTGTATTTTGCCCCAACTGAACATGTATGTATTTTGTCGTTCTAAAAAATATGTTATAAGCAACCAATTTGCCTGTTAGCTTGTTATCTTGCAGGAGAGGTTTCAGTATGTATTTTGTCTACTTATGCATCTTCAGGCGAAGGTTTTATTACTTTCATTTGTTTTTTAAAGTGTGATTGAAAAGCAAGTTCAACATACTTCTCTACCTTCGCAATTTGATTTCAAGGTTATTTAAATTACTTCAAGTTATGAGGAGCAAACTAGTATACGTGACAACAGATACCACACCATTCACCTTTTGCGGTTTAATATGTCCTTGTCATTACAGCAATTTTGCGATCATGTTTCATTTTGTTTTTTTGTTTGGTAGTGAAATAATTATTGAGTGCCAGGCTTTCTTGGCATTGCTTTTCATTAACTAGAGCTCGCTTCCTTCACCACTACCTTTTTTCTTACCAGTTTACAATTTCGTGTCTAACTTCAGTTAATCAATCGCTGAATTTTCTAGTTTATTTCATCATTCATTCCTTATCATTTCATAACTTTCGTAGCTTTGCTGATTCATTCTAATAATTAAAGTTTTTCTTTCTTTCTAGCGACGATATTTACCTCTCGTCTTGTTCTCACACTGCGGTGGAAACATAGATGTTAGATATAAATATTCAATTAGTTATTCATACGAATATTGTTTTTCGTAAGTATTGTCATGCTTGGTCTTCGTGAAAAGTGATGCCAAAATTCGGTACTTTTGTGCTGCATTGCGATAGAATAGATTTGTTATTTACACAATATTGTCTTGATTATATTTCATGGTATGAATTATTGCTTAGCATGAAGTATGGCACATCTTAAACTGATAGAAACACAGCTGTAAGCGGTTAGGTGCATCTGAATTTTAATAATTGCAAGAGCAAAGTATAGATTTTTTTAACTTCCAAATCAATGTTTAATGTAAGGAAGTGTTGTTTGCATTGTTGACATTTGAGAAACGGTCACAGGTTATCCATTTAGTCATTCGTCATTGATTGACAGGGAGCAATGAGGCAGATCAAAGGCCATCGCTTAATTAGCAAATGCATCTACTGGAGAAGAAGGAGAGAGGGCAAAGCAGGTGTAAGGTTAGCTAAGTGAATCGTAGGATGGCATTCAGCTAAAGAAGAAATAGGTAGGTAGGTCGTTGTCGTCCTAACCTCCCTCGCTCTCTGATTAGTGTTCGGTGTGAGTAATTCCTAAAACATGCCTGAATGACCTTTAACTCTTCTGTTCTACTGGTGACTTGTTTACTTTCAAGTATCGGAATAGCAAAGTTAAAAATAGCAAGACTATTTCGAAAACTCATTACGAAAGTGTCCTTTTTTCTGACTATACGATGCCTACAAAAAATAGATCGATTAATACGATTTACTTATTGAAATTCCTCATAAAAATTGACGTAAAAACATGGTGTAAAGTTGTCTTGAACTTTACTGGAAATAATGAAAATGCATCTGAAAGTGATGCATTTTGCGATACGTCTTTATGTCACAGGCATTTATGCTTGTTTTTCTTTCTATTTATTTTTTTTCGTTTTTCATACAAATTCGTTTGAAGTTATTTATGATTTCGTTCTGCTCTTTTCTCACTTCTTTCAAAACACTTTTAATGCTCGAGACTTAAGGCAAACTGTCTCGCATCAAAATTACCAAGAGCTTTTATAATCAACATAACTCACAAATTTATTCGCATGTTGAGCAGCTGAAAGCAGATGTTTGCGTCATTATTTTATTACCTGCAAGTTGCGGAATGCGATGGATACAGTACTGATAGTATTTGTTTTGTTTGTTTCCTTTATTTTTCTCAAACGATTAATAATTTGTACGCTATAGCAACTATCAATTTTTTTTTGAAAAAATAAAAGATAAGATGAAAAAGTGGTTACTTTCAGCTTCCTTTTTTATTTCATATTCAAATTCTAAATCTCGTACGTAAAACTATTTGAATTAGAGTTTCACTCACTGTATCAACAAACTAGCAGATATGTGCTTGTTTTATTCATATAACTCGAGTTGCATTTATTGCAACCTAAAAAATTCTCAGTGAGCTTGTGTTTTGGTGGGCTTTTCATTGGTATTCTCATTAATTTTTAGTTCTTTGATCTTTCCACTCATCATGAGACTACCTCTACTGTGTGGAAATTGTAAAACTGTCGGCATTTTATTGTATTTGTGTCCATTATGAATGAATTAGTTAGTCCAGTAGAAGTGTGCAAATGTAAAAGCTCATTGAATCTGGTGAATTATGAGTGAGTGGTTGTTTTTTGTTTTGTTAGAATCATTAGGTCTTATGTAATTTACAAACTAGATATTGAGTGCTTCCTGCTTGATCTAAATCACGACATAAGTACTCTTTATAAGTCATGAGATATTATTTGATAAAATAATTTTATTCCGTTTGCCACTCAAGAGTATTTTTGCTGGTAACTAAAAATCAAGTCATGAAATAAAGCATTAGTCCGATCTCCTTACTCAGTTTGGAGTAACTTGAAGTAAAATATAAAAATGAATAAATTAAATAGTAAAATGGTGCAGAATTTAAGTAACGTTATATTTTTGTAATAAGTGAGCAGAACTTTTTGCACTTTTTTCGATTGCAGAAAATGTGTTTTACACTTTGTTTACCTTATAACTTGTTATATCTCTGCTCATTCACTTGTTATTGGTTATTGTTCTTACATTTAGGAAATTACGGTCAACTACTGATTAATGGGTTATAGTTTAAAGATTTGACTATAGAAAATGTTCAATTCACATTCTTTGTTAGTGAGCATTATTTGATGTACATACTACTACTACTAATACTACATGAGTAGTACCTGAATGATTTTTTTTACCTCTATCATTGTCACTTTCTCCCATTTTCGCTCCTTGATCTTTCATCAAAGCTCAGTCGAACTGACAGACTGATAACACAGTGGAAGGGGCAAAATTGCTCATTCTTATCTTTGGTCATACCCTCCTATTTCTTTTTCCCTTCATAGACGATAAGAGAATTCACAGCACCATATAAAGTTTCGCATTTTCAACTTTTTCGCAAAAGTGGCCGATTGGAAAGGGTTTTGTTCTTTAGCAGTTTTTTCCCTCTTTTTTTGCAAATACTTGCAAGAGCGCTTGATGAAAGTCGTAGTAATTACATGACTATCAGTGATAAAGATATTTACATATGTTTCTTAATATCCTTCATTTTCGCTGTTTATTATTATGCTTTTTGCAAGCTTTGGACAGTAGGAGGTAATTGATAGGAATTATTTCTGAACCTGATGATGTACAGACCTGAATTTTTAAAAGTGTTCATGTAGAGCATATTAAATTATAGTGTTATTTTTGCCAATTTGTAAATATTTTACTTTTTATTACTGAAATGCATTTAAGTGCTTATTAAGTAGAAATGGTTGATGGCATGATCAAGTACCAATGATAATGTGCTTATATTGTGACCAAAGATTGTAGTTCATTGGATACTCCAAAGATTAGTAGTTCATTGGATACTCTTCGTACAGCAGTTAACCGCAATTACATCGTTTTTATTTCTCGTTGATAATGTTTAAATGATAATGTGAATCTTACATCATTCGAGTATCTTGCTTTAGGGAGAAAAACGCAGAAGGGACCATGGATTTTATTTTTGGATCGAAATTTGAATTTGAACTGGCAAGAAAATGGGCGTCAGAAATGCAGTGGACAATATTCAACATATCGTTAACATACGTTGTTACAATATTTGTAATTAAATACGCCATGCGGGATCGAAAACCATATGATTTACAACTTCCTCTGGTTATCTGGAATGCTCTCTTAGCTGTTTTCAGTATTTTTGGCGTTGTTAAAATTACACCTGTTTTCCTCAAACAAATGGTTACCAAAGGATACATCAGTTGGTTATTGTACTAGATTATTCCTTTTTTACCATTTTATCCGTTTTAAATTTTAATCTAGCTCACAACTTATTTTTACTAGATTCTTAACGTAGTAATGACCTGGAAAAATAAAAAATGATAAAGTAGCTATTTTTAAATTTTTAAATCATGTATTATAGAAGGCATTTGATTTACAATTTCTTTAACTTGATGAATGGATCGTGTATGATATTACATATGTAAGAGTACTTTTCTTATGCTTCATGTTGGAAACAAATAACTTTTTAATTTATCTCTTTATTCAGGTACTTTCACCACAATAGGACCATGTTTTACTGATGATGTGGCTGGCTATTGGACATTCCTGTGGATTATTTCTAAAGTTCCAGAACTGATGGATACCATATTCATTGTTTTGAGGAAACGTCCACTAATGCTGATGCACTGGTATCACCATGCGCTGACTGGATATTTCGCAATTGTCACATATGCGAACAGAAATGCATACATGATCTGGGTTGTATGGCTCAATTTTATTGTTCATTCCTTCATGTACAGGTAAGGCTGAAGAATGTCATATTTATTGATTCTTATAATTTAGAGAGTTAATATCATTATATATCAACCACATCATCAGACGGTTTTTTCTAGTTATTACATGCTTCGATCGCTTCGTATCCGTGTTCCACCGCAGGTTGCTCAGTTTATTACCTTCGGTCAGATCATCCAGGTTTGTTCATTATGATTATTTGCTCTTACTGTGTTTAACTTCACTTTAATTATCAAACTTCAGATGTCGCCTTCAATATGAAAATGATTATGGTATAATAAAACACATTTATCATTTATTTATTGTTTGCATTTTTGTTTTAACATGTTAATAATTATATGGAGGCACCATTATTAGTAATAACTTTTCAGTTTGTGATAACACATTTTGTGATGATACATTTGGCGGTGCTTACTCTCACGACAACAAATAACTATGCTGTTACATTGCGTGGTTTTGCGCTTGGTACAATGATGGAAGTAACATATCTCATATTGTGGATCCGTTTCTATTATGTCTCTTATTATGCAAATGGCGGTAAAAAATATATTGAACACAAGAAGAGTGCAAAGTCTCAACAATGAAGATCAGAAAAATGAAAAATTTTAATTTTATCGCAAAATTCGAAACTTTTGTTGTTTCATTTGTTGTTCGATAATTATATTTTAACGTATTATTAAGTTCATATCATCGTCATATTGTCATAGTTGGATTCAATTTTAGCCTAATAATTTTAGATTCATGAAATTCCAAGAGGGTGGTTTAATATTTTTCACTTTTTTTATAAATTCAATAATTTCACAAGAAAAACATTGAGCTTAGGATGTAATTTCTTTTTGTTGATATCTTTTTTTTCGTTTTTTTGACTTCCCTCTCAGGCAGAGTGACTTTTAAGTGTTTGTACGCAGCTGAATTTTCATTGGCGTAATTTGAAATTGTATGTATTTTTGAAAAGTTTTCAATATTTGAGCATAACGTATATTTAATGTGGTTCGTGTAAGTTGCGTCATTCATGTCAAAATCAAGACGAAGTAAGTACCTGAGGATGCAAATCTAGAATCACCGTACTGAGTAGTTCTCTTGATTTTCTGTGTCCTAACTAGGAATCTCCGTGAATTTCTTCAGTTTTAAATGTTCTGCTCTGATTCGTTTTCCCCTCTTATTCCTCCATTTTTTAAATATTTTTGTTGTCATGGAATTGTAATCGACTTAATACATTTCATATAAATTTCTTTTATTTCATGTTCGGTTATGCTGAATAAAAGTGAGAGTTACTTGAGAGCTTTTTACCACCATTAATATACTACTGTTGGGAAGATTTTCAGAAAGGAAATTTCGAGACCAAAGCATTTGTTTGCATAGAATGTATATTTTCTCAAAGATTGTAAAGATGAGGAATGTTTGTTGTCCTATTTTCATTTACATTCGATTGATGCGTTTCATTACAGGCGCAAATTTGTAACAGGAAACTATGATGATGCACTGGAGAATGCTAATCGCTTATTGAATGACTTGCGAGGCTTTAATTTAAATACATATTAGAAAATTAGTGTCGAGAAGTAATGCTATTTATGACAAGACGTATTTATGCCGTAGTTCACATCATAACACCAAAACATTACATTCATATCTGCTGGCAGTAAAAATCATTTGATAACCATAATGGATATTAATTACGTAATTCTTCGGACAGGCAAGATTCTGCTACGGGATTACGATTTTGCATTCTATTCTAAAAAGACAGTAAAGGCGAACTTCATTTATCGCATGGTGAACATAGTTTTTATGCATGAAGTCTTTAACTGACGAAGTAAGCAGGCATCGGCCTTGTCAAATTTCCCTTTTGCAATGAAATGTATTTGTGTGTAAAGATTGAAACCATACAGTTCCCCTTCCACCTTATCTGAGGTGTAAATATCATAAAAATTTTTTATCTTTCGTGATATTTCCACCTACCATCTAGTATAGTTTTCATTAGCCAACACATTGACCGTTATAACAAAATCCCATTGGGCATCGGTCATTGACGCAAGGTCCGTCTACAATTCACCTATTGTTTAACTTTTTATCACAAAATATTCAACGAAAAAAAATTAGAAAACTTGATGCTAGAACTGTGTAATCATTTTCTGTACTTGGAAACTATTACAAAAAGAATTCATTGCAATTTTCAAAATAATCCGAAACTTTTCTTTTTTAAATAGCAGATTTTATAATTATCCTTAATGCACTGAGCAAGATTAATGCTTATTGTGAATACTTTTAATTTTTCACCATATATGTTTTTGGCTTTGGTAATGATATATTAACATATTTACTAATTATCTGAGATGTAAAAAGTAAATTTGTGCACATGAAATGCTGGATGAAAAATTAACTATAAACTCACAAACATTAGGTGTTCGTATACATTGTGAACGATAGCATGAAAAACCAGCAGGGCACTGGCCGTTTACACATGGACCAATAGCTAGAAATGTTTGCATTTGGATTAAAGTGATCAGTTCAGTGAGGAAAAATTAATGAAGGTCAAATTTCTGTCAATGTAAAGAAATAGCAAAATTTTTGCATTCTCTAACAAGTACATACTTACATGGATGAGTGGCTGGTTCAATAGCAGGAGAAACTGGATATGGATATGGATATGGATATGGATATTCATATGGAAAATAATATGGATTAGAAGGATAATAGCAATATATGCACTGCCAATGACTACCTAAACTTTGAAATTATTTAGTAAATAGTGTTTAGAAATAATTATATTCAAAAACTTAATTAAGAATAAATTTAGAGAAAGCTATTATTCTTCATTGGAGAATTGATGCTGAAACAAATCCTATAATACTCAATTACATTTAATAAATGCACAGATTGCTTTCTTGTCTTGGTTTAACTTATTATCAAATACTTGAAAAGATGCTTAAGAAAAAAAAATTCTGCTCCAAGTTTGTATGAGTGAAATTTACCTGCAAATGATACCATTGATAAAAGTACAATAAAATAGAAGAGGAACATTTTGAGGAAGCAAAATATTTGTGAATGAGGTCTCTTCAGCAAGTCTTACAAAAATTGTCTCGATTTTTCTTTTTAAATACAAGGAATAAGTGATGATGTAACTGTTTAAAGAGAACTGTATTTATTTACCTAAACTGTTCCAAAATGTGAGTACCACTGAGTACCGGTTTCTTATTGCACGATTTCCACTGCAAATTCTGTCTCCCAAGTATTATATTTTTTCTTTCATGTCCGTTTGACTGATATAGTTTCCGGTATACGAGAGGAGAATTTCTTCCTTTTGATAGAAGATCAAGATTGGAATTGAATTTGAAAAAAATAATTTGTTAAGTTTACCCACTGTATCAAATATGATTCACATCATTCCACGTTTTTATATTTGTGCCTGCAGTCAGTTAACTCAAACACGATTCTATATATGTATAATTAAAGTATTGAAAAGCAAAGCTTTGGAATACCTTTTTTTGCTTATTTGAATAACAGATCTATCCAGAAACCTTTCATTACTCACTACATTTTTTTAAATCATTATTTAATGTTATGAATCACTAATTTTTGACTCATCATCCATCTTGACAACTTCTTTCGCTACTTTCTCCTCAAATGCTATTTTTCTTAATTATAATTCAAAAATGCGTATTACTATTAGAAAAACATATAGATTTAACACACAATTCCGAACATTTCAGTACAATATTTTCACAAAACTGGAACTTATTCAAAATAAATTTAATGATAGATATTTACTTAACAAATATTTATATTTGCTGTGACAACTTAGTAAGTGACATGGTTTGATTTGAAACATGTGCAATGCCTTACTTTAGTCATGAAAAAATCACAACTGCACAGCACTAACAACTACATTTATAATCTGACGACAATAGTAAGGGAACTGATTTTTATGCAGAAAAATGTAATGAAAGCTATTTTGCTCACTAATGCTTTTAGATTTATTTTCGGAATAACTGACGACAGCTGTTTCTGCTTTTTAGCGTTTAACGTGTAATTTAGCAACAGCTGATCTTTAGGGAAAAAATAGTGCTTGAGGGTAGTAATTCGAGTAAAATAAAAATATTCTTGAGGAATTAGAAGAAAATACTTTTTCCGCCTGTTGAAACACAAATAGCACATTTGCCAAAACTGCACTGCGAAGAAAAGAAAAATTCAAGTGACAGAAGCTTTAATCTATTATCACAATAATGCTGCCACTGTATTTGACTCAATAAATTTATGTCATCTATCGTTTCTAGTGGTACTATTTTTGTTTGAGCAATTTTAAAGCGATTTTAATGCAAAATACTGGGTTTTCTACAGTTGCATTGTCTACAAGCTTGTAACTAGTCTGAAAGTATTTTTCACTTCACTTAAATAGCAGCTATCGAGTACTAAAAGTCTGCGTCAATTCTGTTCATGTATGATTAGTGGGGCATAAATTAATTAAAGGCAGTGCTGGAAATGGAAATAAAGAAGGAAACATTTGTCGCATATGCTTTTCTACCTTTCTTTTAAATTTGGTAATTGTTGTAGAATTAATTTTTCGCCTAAATTTTGCACAAATCATGCATTTATGATATGACTGAAATAATTTGAATAGATTTGCAACAGATCATTCGTTTGATTATGACATTGGCATGCGAAAATGGAGAAGAATATCAAGTAGTATGCAAATAATTGTCTGCTTAAGCAGGTCATCATCTATAATGCACTTGAACTTTTCTACAAGCTTCTTTCCTGCTTATTTCATTTTTAATTTCAAGTTTTTTAGTAAAATTAAAATTAATGGTTATTGGGATACAAATGGTATTAGATGAGAACAAAAATATACCACAAAAAATGATTAAATAAAGTTTTATTCTTAAAATAAGTGCCTATGTGATGTATGTATGTATGCAGCAATATGTATGTATGTAGTATGCACACACCACATATGTTTTAATACAGCTTGTTAACTTAATCACAGTGCTTGCTGCCCTTTCTTCTTGAAAATATCTTCACTAGCTTACCAGCGTTTCATGCAGGATTGACGTTCATTTCAGTCTTCACCGAACACTACATTCAGCACATTCAACGCATCTACTACTGCTGTAAATTTGATTAATCATTGTGATGGCTACTGATCTTGCCACCAAGTTTGCTGAACACGAATTAACTCCAAATGTCATCCCGGAACCACCAAAGAAGCTTCTTAATTTAAGTCATTTTGCAGTTCTTGGTTTTTACTTGAGTATTAAAGAAAGGAGCAAGTTTTCATATTTATAACTATTGATGAACAGTATTTAGAAATCTTGCAAATTCATGGACAATTTCGAATCCTTCACAAACAAAGAGATATTAAAATATTATTTTAAATTGTAACAAGAATAGGTTTTATTTCCTTTGTTTCAAGACAATTCATCTCAACTTCCAGTCATACATTCCATGTCTCCATGAACAAACTTGAGCTTTGTAAAATGCAAGCATATTTTTTAAATCTTTTAAGCTTTCATGGTAATGTTACGCAATCCTATTTTGCTGACTGTTTTCACTTTCATCCATTCATAACGAACAATGTTAAATGACGATTACATGATGAAAATAGCACTATTTAGCTTCAGCATTGATGTCATTTCGTGCATAAGACCAAAAAATTTTGCCGTTATGTGACTAATTATTTACAGTAAAATGATTGCACGATTCATTTCAAGTTATGCATCAAGGGTATTTCCTTATTTTATTAAATTCTGAAATTCCATAAAATGGCTTTGTAGAGCTGTTCCAATACTTACCTTATTTAGAGCGTAATTTTTAATCTCGGAGTCATTATAGTCTTTGTCAGCATCACATTACTAATTAATTATATGAACTTCAATAAGTAGACAACTTCATTTTAATGAAATGAAACTCGTTACATTTCTAAACAATAATTCTATGCAAACTTATATTGTTAGCGATCTGACTAAAAGCCACTTTGATTTTTTCTTCTTTAGAATCTGTTTCTGTTGAAGACAAACAATTCTCTTGATAGCTTTGTAAGCAGATACTACTGAACCCTCGACTTCCTCAGTTAATCATTTTTCGCACTAAAACAAACCACAACAGAAAAATAAACCTATACCTAGGAATTTTTGTGGATAACTCACTTCGAAGATCAAATGAATAGCATATGGAAGAATATTTAAGTAATCAAAAACACAGTGATCGGTATAAACACAATTTCAGTGCAACTGGAATGGCATATTAGTAGAACCAGGGCAAACAATGTCGCCTAGGAATCTTCGTTTTGCACCTCGCGTAACCCTGGATGTTGATCCTGAATCCACTTTCTCTCTACTTATGATCGGTTTGGTTTTACCTCCTATATTACCTTCTGTAATGACACAAAATCCATCTTTCTATTCCTTCTCAACTCTCCAATCGTGCAAATATAAATCAGAGCCTCTCCAGTTCCTAGAACTCGTGACATTTTATGGCTGTATCTAGCCGGCATGATGCAAATGAATCTTTAGATCCCGACAATTTGTCACGGAAGAATCCAAGTGTAGCAGAATGGCTTCACTGGCTGGTTTGTTTTCAACACAACCCAAAACTCGTTAAATCCTTTGACATTCATTTAAATAATCTCTTTATGTAATATTTTATTGCTGCTGCGAGAAACCATTCATCTCAAAATATGAATTAACTTTCAACGTCGAGTAGCTTCAAAACTGTAGCATGCGAAACACTTTCCAGGTCGTTAACATCCCCGCAAGCAACATTCAAGAGGGTATTAATGGCGGTAAGTCATTGTTAATTTAAAAATTATATTCAGATTTATAGCTTCTACAGTTTTAGCAACGTGCTTTCAGGACAACATCAGATGCCATATGGAAGTCCAGCGCCACAGCCTCGTACCGATTTACACCGCTACGTAATCCTTCTTTACGAGCATCAGGGACGACGAATACAAGTACCAAAAATGAATAGCAGAGTCAAATTCAATACGAAAGAATTTGTAGAAAAACACAAATTAGGTATGGTTTCAAAGTAATCTAAAAAGTTGTTTACAGATCAAAAAGTCCAAATAATCTACAGGTAACTACAGCTTCAAGTATTTCCATCCCAATCATAGTCTGATTGCAAGTAACACTTAGTGATTTAATTTCAGGCGACCCGATAGCAGGCAATTTTTTCCTTGCTCAACATGAAGGCTAACAAAATTGAACATAACGCTAAAACTTTTGTGATCATTAGAAATTTTATTTCTGTGCGAGTGTATGTAGTATACTTATACTCATCTGCTCTTTTTCTTAGGCTTTGCAACTTAATTTATGCATAAGTAATGAAAACTCTGTAACTGAACTATCAAAAAAGGTTTAATATGAAATTACTTCAATTCTTGATTTAATGATTTTATCTACTTTTGCAACTCCATATCATGCACGTCTATTTCATGCTTCAAGTATGTATATACTACTATGCATTCATATATTTTTGATAAATTACTTACAGATATGTTCTAAAGCTTTTTAAGATCCAAATCAGAAAGTCCACAAATACCATATTTTGAGAGAAAAATTCAACAAGAATACAACTGCTTTTCATCAAAAAATTCAGGTCCTGCAGTATTTTGAAGTTATATAAATAATCGACCATTGTAAACAGTTATACTGAATAAATGTTGTCTAGGATGACAGAAACAATTTAATTCATGTCTGCCTACTTCTGAAATATAGCACGGATCATAAACAAACTAAAGAAGCCTTCCGTAAAAATCAATTACTGAGATTTGAATAAGTGAAACCAAAAATGACAGAAATACAAAATCAAATAACACAAGCAGCTACATTTACAAGGTTCTTTTGCTAGCTAAACATCATATAAATGGATTGGCTATCTGCTCAATACCATCGTTTGGAGCTACTACCGTTATTGCAGTTCCTCGAGCAACAATCAAACCTAACTGCCTCGTTTCCTGAAAATTTATATATTACGTATAGTATAAACAATCTTAAAACTTAAAAAATGTAATAATTCACGTTAAATTTGGTACGAATTAATGTCAGAGTTTATTTTCAACAGATTGCATAAGAATATGGCAAACAGTAAAATACATATTTGCAAACCACCTCTGTTATTTTCTGCGGGTCTTCTGAATCTCGGACATATTCTACAGCATTATCTAGCACCAAATTAATCAACGCATCATAACCTTTCAAAATTCCAGAAGCTATAAAGTATTTAACAATATCATAGCCAAAAATAGCTGCCTGCACCAAAAAAAGCAAAAAGTTGTTATAAAAATGGATTTTCCAAACTACAATCTAAAGAAATCCTCAAAGGTATACAAAAGAACTAGAATTAAACTCGTCAGAAAACATATAAAAGACAAAAATAATATTTGTAAACGATAATAAAGACTAACCTTCCCGACCTCCTTGAAACTTGACACGCACTTTTTTATCTATAAATCGTGATAAATCAACGATTGACTCTTTTTTTTTTCTTACCGCTTCATCTTTATCCTGCGAATAAAAAACATGTAAAGAATAATAAATCGAAAAATAATTTTAAGGAAAAACTGGTGGCCAAAGACATGATTTCGGAATCTAGCACTAACTTATTCCAGAAGCTATAAAGTATTTAACAATATCATAGCAAAAAATAGCTGCCTGCACCAAAAATCACCAAGCATTACAAATTTCAAGACTTGAGATCAGACAATCAGATAAGAAAAGCAGCGTTCATATGATAACAGCCTAAGGTAATTGCGACATTTTCTCATATACTTGACATTTTATGGAACAAAAAGCTTGCTATTTAATCCAAACATTGAAGTATTCAAATCTGACATTCACTTACAGGCATTTTTATTTTTCGACACGCAACTTTTTGATCTTTCGACAACTGCGATCAGTCCTAAAATAAACAGATACAACTCAATATTTTAAACTGAGTGATAAAGTAAATGAAACGTTAATGCAAAACAAAATTATGTAATTAGCATGGACATGATGCAATACAAGGACGCGAGAAAAAAATACTTTTATATGGACAGAGATCTGCAACATCAAGAAAATAGTAACTGCTGAGATAGATCACACAACAGTAACAACAATAACAATCTTATAAGTGGAAGTCACTAGATATGGTTCTCATCTTTCTGCAGAGAAAAAATGGCTTTTGAAGGTACGAGAATGACTTGCGAACGCATTTGAAGAAAAACAGACTTGTTGAGAAAAAAGATAGCGCTATAAAATTAGCAAGTTCCAACAACAGGAAAACTAGTCGATCGATCGATAGATGGGTAGATAAATGGGTACTGATATATAGACATACCTGTATATATATAGGTATAGATAGATATAGAGACATATATACATAGGTCTTAATAGATATATATATGTGCTGATAGCAAACAAACGATAGATTGATGGATAGGTAAGCAAGAGGATGGGTCGACAGGGAGACCGGTGAATAATTAGATTGGTTTAGTAAATAGCTGGGTACAGGGGCGAGTGTGTCGGCAGGTTTTGAATTGCCAAAGTGACTAACTGATAGCAGAACTGGGAGATTAACTGAGGACTATTAGGTAGGAAACATGGCCGAATAATCGACAGATCTAAATTGACGATATTTGTCAGCATATCGATGGTTGGATATGCTGACAAATGTTAGATTGTTCAAAATCAAAAACGTTATATACATAGACTGCTCGATTGACGGATTGATTAATAAAACGCCAGGAAGGTAGCGAAATCCGTAGGAACTGATAGATAAAGAAGATGAATAGTCGTCAGATCGAGAGATTGATAATTGGGTAAATATATCGACGACTAGTAAATAGATGGGCCCGGAGATGAATATGATAAGAGTAGGTTGTTAGACTAATTAATAGATAGATTAACTGATAAGTAGAAGACTAAATCGGTCAATTAACTGATCGACAAGTAGAATTATTGGTATACGCATAGGCGGATAGATAGAGAAAGAAGAACAGAAATGCATAACATGATTGATTCAACCCGTGAATAATAGTAGTGGGTCTCGTATGGTATTCGTGAAGAAGATTGTTGAGCTAATCAGTACCTAAAGCAAAATTGCTCGGAAGTTTAATGTTGGTGGTGTTCACGTGTGAGGAGTGTGCAATTTAGGAGTAGTTGTGTATAAATAGAGACCATTGGATTTCAATTTCTGGATAACGGGAGGATATTTGGTTCCTTTTCACACTTTTTATTAGTCGAAATTGTTATCTTAACGTAAGTCATCTAAGCTTGCTTATAAAAGAATGTAATGAATTCATCGGATCGAGGATATAGTGTCGTCGCTCAACATAGGTGCTTTAACTTTCATAAAGTTCTATGCAAAAAGTAAAACAAATCATTTATGAAATCACATGGACGTTAGAAGTTTTGTTTTTCCAATATTTTTCTTCCGTATTTATTGTTACTGTTTTGCAGTATAATTTTTCTAATTACTATTACCGGAGTTTTTCACATCGATCATTGTTGTAGTGGTGTAGGTTTTGTGAAATTTTATTAAATTTGGGATTTTTTTCGGATTTAGCCAAGGCGTAGAAGATCATTCATTCTTTGATCTTGAGACTGTATGATGACAGTAAGGTTTTCTTAACTGCAAATTGTAATTGTAAGCTGCAATTAATAACGAACTAATTTTGAAACAAAAACAATCCACTCATTATAACGGGTCGTTATTGTTTTTTGTTTCTGAATTTGGTCTCATTCTAGCAAACTAGAAGTATAGTTCAAAATTAGAAATACAGTAATAGTAAGGATAGAAAGAGTGCATTCTTCATTAGGCATAATTTGAGGGTATTTATGAACTATTTAATTGTGGCGTCTGTTGGATATTGTTTTATAGTTTAATGAAATATCAGTTCAGATTCGTACTCTGTTTTATATTTTTTTTAAAAAGTTTTTTGTCAAATATTTAATTTCCTAATTAATAAAACCTACGTTTATCGTACTTTATTTTGAAAAGAAAGTAAAGACAGATGTCAGAATATAAATTAGTACTAGTTAAATGTGGAACAGCTTTGAGTAATTACATACTTTGTCATAAGCATTTTTGGAAATTTTATATTTGCATGGATGTTAGTTGTAATGAAGTAAAAATGAACGTGTATCTAAGCACTTGGCATGCGACGTAATACTTCTAAAATTCTTTACTTCATATATTGATTAAAAAAACATGTAGCCACATGTGAATATATACTTTTAGTTAGCGGTAACACATAGCTCTATTCGAATATACTACGAAGAAAATGAATGAAAATTACTTGAAATATTATTTCAATTTTGAACGTCCACCGTTTGCACCAACATTTTTTCCATCGGTAGAAGAGTTCGCTGATCCAATCTCATATATCGCAAAAATTAAAGGAGATGCTGAAAAATATGGTGTAGTAAAAATTAGACCTCCCGCTGTAAGTTTTTTCTGCAGAAATTCATTAGGTAATTAATTAGAAATATGTCTTGTTAAGAAAGGAACAAGTAAAGTTGGTTGAAGATATATGTTTTATCATTTTATCAAGAAGCAATGAATGATTGGTTTTCTGAACTTACAAAATCCTATTCTTGCTTGTTTCATATTAACACTTTTGAATTTATTAAATGATGCTACTCAGTTGTGCAAAATATTTTATTATTTTGTAGTTTTTCGCAAAATACAATGATTGTTTTTGTCTGAATTATTTGTAGATATATATTGACATGCTTTTTTCTTCAGTTTTTTCGACCACCATTTGCTATAAATGGCAAAAATTTCAATTTTACCCCACGAGTTCAAAAACTCAACCAAATAGATGCGTTGGTACGAGCCAAGTTAATATTTGATGCTCAGCTAGCGGGTTTTTGGCTTATGCAAGGCCAAACTCTTGAAATGCCCACTATAGAAAACAAACTTGTCGATCTACACAGTCTTTACACGGTTCGTGATATTTGCATGTTCCAATTCTGATTGAAAGTCTAAAGAAGAAGTAACATTTTGTTGTACACTAAAGTTTGTCACTTATCTGCTTTTACAAGAATAATTTTTGGTGAGTTTACATTTGTATTACAAAGAATACCACAGAAGGTGGTTGAGGGATTCATCATCAATGGGTTGACTTGTAAACATAGCGGCAAGATCTCAAAATTAAAAGAAAAAAGAGGTGAATCACAATTAGTTGTGATTTTATGCTAATGAAACTAAAAATTATTTCGTGTTCATTCTTACTTATTCGTCAGTTAGTCTTCAAGTGATTGTGTGCTCTATAATTGCATGGTGAAGTTATGATCGAAGGAAAAGGTGGGCAAAGCACAGAGAGATTGATGAATGAATGTATGATAAGGTAGGATTTGGAAAAGTCTCAACGAGGAAAGATTAACGTGGTGATGCTCAATATAGCGCAGCGCAAATGCGTATGATTTCTTATCTCATACATGTTTGATAAGCAACTAAGACTGAAGAACATTGATTTCTTTATATACATCTGAAGGAGAGCGATAAATACGAATAGTTATATAGATATTGGGAGATCAAGAGATGCACAAGTCATGAATATCAAGACCAGCAAATTTTAGGCTAGTTCAACAAAGTCAAAACGGTATGAAACAGAGTTGTAAATTTGGAAAAACGAGGGGAGATTAATCTGTGGAAGAATAAGTTTCCTTCACTCGCTTAATTACTAATGCACAAAAATTTAAGCGCTGTCATAGCACTGACAGTCTTCTAAGCTCTACACAGATTTTTTAGACCCAAATTTACACGGCTGTTCCACTTCGAATCCTAAATCTAGTGTTTTCTGCTATAACATTTGATATCAGACATTATAACTATTATTCATGGTAGAGCAAGTTGGATAGCAATGCATAGGTCAGCAGGCTTGACGGGAAGATAAAGGAGGGTTACTAGCCGGGATCTTTCGGGAATATTATTTCTCTTAGTATCTTTTCACTTGGATTGATCTCGTTGTGACACCTAGCTTGAAAAAATTTTTACATCTACAAATTATTATGCATTTAAGCGTGCTAAAGTGACTGTACTGAATTATTGACTATTGTGAAACTCATTTGAAACTCATTAGTTATTCGAGAAAACTCATTTGTTATTCGTGGTATCTCTGTCGAATAGGTGTGGTTCACGAAACCCAGAAATAATCATGGGTTGCATTCTTTCCTCGTTTCGTAATCAAATATTCAGTGCATGGCAGTTTGTTTTCTGCATTACTAAATGAGATGCTTCAAAGTATGGCTGTATTCACTTCAACCTCATTGTATTTTTCTCGCTTCTCAGGTAATTAAATGCTTTAGGTCGTCGTGAAATATGGAGGTCCAAATGTTATGGACGCTCAGAAGCTGTGGGGCACTGCAACAAAAAGGCTTGGATTTAAACAGCAGCGAGCCAACAAAATGAAAGCTGTTTATTTCAGATGGATTCATGATTTTTATGCACTTATTAATGTATGTCGCTTCTTTTTTTCCATCAGGAACCAGTATTCTGAGCTTGGAGTGCTTGCTGTAAATATTATTGTTTGTGTTTCGGGAGCAAAAGTGAATAGAGACAAAACTCGAAAATAAAGTCATTGTCAAACCATTTATATGATGTTTCTGAGTGGTCATTATAGGAGAAATTCAGTGATTCTAAAGGAAATGGCCTAGCGCTTATATTCTTGCACGTAAAGTGAGATGTTTTTCCTTATTGTAGGGATGTAAGTAGATTAGAATATGTTTTAAAAATGTTTTTTTCTCGCTTCAGAAAAATAAGGATAATGAGGGGGATGAAAGTGAAGATTGTATCAGTTCAATAAACGAATCCAAAAATGAACATATAGTGCACAAGATAAGACGTACCTCTCAATCTAGAACAAGACCTATATCCAAACTTCATGTTTATTCAAGTGAGTTATTTTTCACTACCCGATTCAAGGTTCATTTTCATTTTGAGACGACTATTCAGTTTGGTAGCTTCCAATTATTCAAGTTCTCTTTTTTTTCCATTTTTTATAATATTGTAAAGTTATGATTACCTTGAAAGCATATATGTATTGTTTAACTTCCAGTGGTGAAATTTTTTTGGATAAATAGACATTTTGAAAAAATGGAACTAGATTGTCATATGTTGTTATGTAATTGTTCTCAGATTTTTGCAACAGTTTTCAGAGGAGAGAAAACTTAAAACCTCTGATCTTATGGAAGAAGTTGTTTGTAAAAAATGCGGAATGGGTGATCATGAAGATTATTTGTTGTTGTGCGAAGATTGTGATCGTGCACTGCATACATATTGTTGTTCGCCTCCATTGCTGAGTCTTCCGAAATGTCTGTATTTTTTGACTATCGGCATTTCAGTATTTTTGGATCTTAGCTCAACATTGAGATGTTTGAAAAAATTTTGAGAGATATTTCAGTTGCTTGGAGGTGCCATCAGTGTTTATTAGCTTCAGTTAAAAATATCGGTGAAAGTTTCGCATTTCATGATTCCAGAAGCAGCTATAATTTATTATCGTTTTCAACCTATGCGAAGAATTGGAAAGAAAGTCATTTTGCGAAAAATTCATTCGTAAGTCATTATTCGCTTTTCCTGCCGCTTGTAAGTTATATCTGATTGCTTTGGACAGAACAAATTTCTTAGTTTCAAACTACCTATATAATTTCACTTTATGGAAATTCGTATATTTTTACTCATCTTTCCTACATTTTATTCACAGTAAAGTGATTTTCTGAACTTTTCTTTAAAATATTTATTTCAGGAAGTGAGTAGCGAAGAAATGGAGCGTGAATTTTGGCAAAGTGTAATCGATACTGAGAATACAGTGGTAGTGAAATATGGTGCCGATCTTGCAGTTAATGAAGTCGGTAGTGGTTTTCCAATAAAGGGATATGATTTTGGAGGAGAAATGGATTCCAAAGAATATCAGTTTTATGCAGATCATCCATGGAACCTTAACAATCTTCCAGTAATGAAAGATTCAGTTCTCAGTCATATGGAAACTGGAATATCGGGTGCTTTTTTTTCCCTTTATATTCGTAACTTATCGTTTTATTTGCTTTATTAAATTTGCCATGTTTTCAGGTATGATGGTACCATGGGTCTACGTAGGGATGTGTCTTAGTGCTTTTTGTTGGCATACTGAAGATCACTGGACATATAGCGTTAATTATTTGCACTGGTATATTTTTAGACATGTTTCGTGACAACTATAGCATTATTATCTTGACACTAACTTAATGAGAATGACCTGTAAAATTAAGAGTGGATAATTTTTTTTTAATCTAACTTATTTTTTTCACATGATTGTTATTCGGTTAGGGGTGAGCGTAAAATTTGGTATGGGGTTTCTGGAGAAGAAGGAAAAAAATTTGACGAGGTCATGATGGAACTTGCTCCATATTTGTTTGAAAATCAGCCTGATGTTCTTCACCATATGACAACTACAATCAATCCAAGCATTTTAATGGAAAAGGTTGAATATGCATGTTTTTGTAATATTGAATACATGAAATGTCAAATTAAGTCATTACTTCGATATATTTTTTATTATGCAAGCCTAGTTTAATTTTAATAATTAACTTCCAGTTCACAGTCGCATTTTCTTTCAGGGAATTAATGTCTACACAGTTCACCAGGAACCAGGTGATTTTGTTGTAACGTTTCCTCGTTCTTATCATGCAGGATATAATGAAGGGCTAAATTTTGCGGAAGCTGTTAATTTTGCTCCAGCAGACTGGGTAAGATTAACATAATATGTGGTTCATTTTTCTTTTAATAATTCACCAATAATTGCGCAAAGAAATCAAAGCAGATCTTACTCTTTTCCAGTACTTTGCGGTCCATGTCTGTTAAGAAACTGTCTCTAGTATCACTGACAATACTGATAAATTATCATGTTTCGAATGCTGTTTCACGTTGAGTGAAGCCCACTTTTGGTTGCTAATATTATATGCTTATCTTGATACATATTGCTCTTTTGTGCTTTATTGATTGTATCTCTAATTTTTATTTCAACTTTGGTTTCTTATTTTTAGCTTCGCAAAGGCCGTTCATGCATTTCGGAGTATGCTCATGTTCACCGTAATTGCGTTTTTTCACACGAAGAATTGATAATTAAGATGGCGAAATGTGTTAATCAATTAAGCACGAATATCTGTATAGCAGTGCATGAAGAATTGCATGCTATTCTTTTTCGTGAAAAATATCTGCGTTCTATTGTTGGTGAAAAGGGCATAAAAAAGTTTTTTTTTTCACAACTTTGTTTCATAATAAGGAATATTCAGTTTATCTTCAAAAGTAGTTCTGAAATTAAATTGCAAAAGTACTCATTTATTTATTTTAATAAAACAAAACGTTACTATTTAATACTTATTAATCTTTATATGTTTATTATGTGATAGCTATTGAGCTTGCCTTGGTGATTTGTGTAGACTATTTTTTAAAAAATTTAACCATTCGTGTTTCATCTTGATTGCAATAGGAAATGAACAATAAATATAATCGTCTTCACAGACAGGCTCGAAGAAAATATTTTTATAACTTTTTTTTATTTGTAGAACGTCGTTTATCGAATATGAGTATATTCCGGATGACTTACGTACTTGCTTAGTTTGTAAGACTACGCTGTTTATGTCATCGATATCTTGCAAACACAAGAGAATAGTGTGTTTAGAACACATCGATCATATCTGTTCGAAGTGTCCGACTACAAGTCTTATCTTCAAGTAAAGTTTCAGGAAGTATTTTAAAAATTGACCATGTTAAAAACTACCGAATTTTTCCTTGTTTCGGTCTTTGAGTGACTTTATTTTCAGTTATCGTTACTCTCCTGAAGAGCTGAAAAAAATGTACCGTGAGTTATCTAAAGGAGTATTGCATTTTTTTGTTTGGAGAAATGAACTTTTGTCTGTAATCAATAATTCAACAAGAGATTTAGAAACAAGTATGTTCTTCACGGGTGATTTCAAAGTAAAGCAGTTGCTTGAACTAAGTTAATATTGATGAAGCATAGAAAGCATGTATTAGATATGACATTTTATTCAGTGTTTAAATATATTTTTCTTCGATGTTAAGCAAGAGATATATTCAGTTTTTTTCCCCTATCATCTTTCACTATTCATTGTGTCATTTTTAAAAGCTATTATGAAACTTTAAAGTAGTTGATTAATTATGATTATTGCTCCTGTTCTGAAATTAGTTTGTAATCCATTCATTCAGGAATGGATCAGCTATATAGCCTAATTAATATTTCAAAAGAGCAACAGTATCCACTTTGTGTTGCCACAAATGTAGCCATGAATATTCTTAGTTCTAGTGGTACCTGCACATCGATAAAAAGCAATATTAAGTATTCTCTGCTTAATAAGTAAGGTTTTCGAAAAAATTTTTAAACCTCTTTTGAGCTGAAATTTGTGATCTTTTCGCTGGAACAACTGTAGTTCTTTTGATCAACGCATTTTTATTTTCCGAGTTCTCATAATTTGTCTCTTCACTGCAATTTTTTTCAAAGTTTTGTAAGACCGATGAAATTGAGAAGTAAAATTTCTGAATTTAGAAATATTGCACAAAGAGAGGCAGCGGAGAAATTAAAGAAATTATATCGTGAAAATATGAGATGAATAAACCATGCCGATTCGTTATAATTTTGCTGCCGTCTTAGTCTGATGGTAGAAAAATAGACATGACTTATTCTTAGTTGCATTTTATGAACGGATTATGGCAGAAAAGAAGCCTGACTTGTGTATTTGTAACCACAGAAAGTAATTTTTCATATTGCTTCATTATTTGTGTATATTTGTTATGGGCTGATAAATATTTTCTGCTTTTGATTTTCTCTGGAGAGCCCGTGAACCTTGTCTTACTTGCTGGTTTTGTTTTATAGGATTATGCAACATGTACTATAGAGTGGCAGAAAAAAAAGCGGAGAAGCGACAGATATAATGAGAACTACAATGTATTGACTGGATGAAGGAAATTATGCTATGGGATAATAATACGGTCAAAGGTGTCCTGGAGTTACCGAGTTGAAAAAAGTGAGTCCTTTCTGCCCAGTTTCTATAAGTAGATGTTATTTGATATCTTGGTATTTATTGCATTTGACGAAATTATAATGTTTTTTCTTGCCTAGAAAGTATTGATAGAATCATTGCTTTCGGATTTTAGTTTTATAATTGCAGGATAATGGCGAGTGATTTGTGTAGTCGAAATCATGGAATGGGCACTTGAGAGCAAACCAAATATTCGGTTTATCGTAAGGAATATGATTGATTTGTCAAAGACAAGTAGAATGTGGAAAGATCAGTTTAGTTCGTCAGAAAATGAGCAGTTCTTGCATACGAATGTTTTCAGTGCAGAAATAATGCATTAAGCGATTTATTGATCAGACGTGGTCAACAGTGTGATGCGAAGTTAGTCATTGCTTTCTCTTTTGATGTAGTAATTTCGAGATACGATTTGGAGGCTTCGTCACGATTAGTGCTGAAAAGAAGTAGTTTCAGTCAATTGCCTGTAAGAATTATAAATCTGTTGCCTGAAGTCGCCAATTTTTCTAAGACAGGGCTTTCGGTTTCGAATTGCTATTTCAATTATTTGCCATATATAGGAAAGTAAGGCCTCGTAATTAAATTAGTAAGGATATTACTAAAAGTATAGATGATAATAGGCTATTTTTAGAATGTAAATTGCGTACGATTAATTTGCTTGGTGATTATCTTGTCTACTGGTTTTGTTGATCAGAAATTAATCTTTCATCTGTTGGATGACTCTTAATACGTGCTCACATATTGTGCTGCATAACATGAGATGCACTCGAACTAAAAATTATTCTGTGAATTTCTTTAATAAGTTGTGCTTGTTAGATTTTGTTTTTATATATACATTTCAGTTAGATGCTACCTTCACTGCATGTTCTCGTAACTATCGTCTGTATTTGGATCTTGATTGCTTCAGCGTCAAAAAAATTTGTTGATTGAAAGGGTTAACTGATCTGTTAGAAACATAACTGATCTATGAGAAACACTAGCCTTAATTTACACAAGAGAATTATCATTGTTACATATATGAAAAGTTGTGTGGGAAATGTGTTTCTGAGCAATTTCTGACAGAATTTATTTATTTATGATCGCATTGTTAATCGTTTAAAAATGGAATGATCATAAGTGCTGTGTTTTCGATATGGTTTCAATTTTTGAAGCAGTTAAGAGCAGGAAAGAGTTTGTTTATATAATGAAGGGGGACGTATTTATTTAACCAAGGTGTTTCGTTGTGTAGTAGTGGATGTAGAAATATTTTAATTTATTACTTTCTGAAGTAGGGTCCCATAATCAAAGTAATAAGAATATCATTAAGATGAGAAATATCTTTTACTTATATTTCACGAGTGTCATCACTGATAAGTTATTTGTTGAGATAAGTCCAGAACTTGTATTTAGATTCATAATGGCACT